TTCCTCGGTCTTGAGGTGGCATATTCCACACAGGGGATCTTCATATCTCAGCAGAAGTACATGATTGATTTATTGGCAGAAACAGGGAAGACTGGGTGTAAGCCAATCTCTACTCTAATAGATCCAAAATATAAGTTAGGAGAAGCTAAAAAAGAACCAGTTGTGGATAAAAGAATGTATTAGAGATTGGTTGACAGACTCATATACCTTGCTCACACTCGACCAGACATAACATATTCTGTAAGTATGATCAGTCAATTCATGCATGATCCTAAAGAACCTAAGAGAACCTAATCTTCTGGTTGCCTATAGGGTACTGCATTACTTGAAAGACTATCCGGGAAAAGGAACCTTGTTCAAAAGGAATGACACTCTTACTCTGGAAGCCTACACCGACGCTGACTATGCTGGCTCCCTAGTGGATAGAAGATCAATTACAGGATATTGTACTTTTCTTAGAGGTAATCTAATGACATGGAGGAGCAAGAAGCAGAATGTAGTGGCAAGATCATCTGCAGAATCAAAGTTCAGGGTTATTGCTCAATGATTATGTGAATTACTGTGGCTGAGAATCATTTTGGATGATTTGAGAATCCAATGGGAGGGTCCTATGAAGCTCTACTGTGACAACAAGTCAGCTATTAATATAGCTCATAATCCTATACAACATGATAGGATAAAGCATATTGAAATTGATAGACATTTCATCAAAGAAAAACTGGAGGAAGGGTTAGTTTGTCGTATATGTCATATATTCCATCAGAAAGACAATTAGCCGATATTCTAATAAAGGGGCTGAACAGTTCAAGTTTCCATGATCCTGTATCCAAGCTGGGAATGGAAGACATATATTCCTCAGCTTGAGGGGGAGTGTCGAGATGTGTCTGAGATGGAAATAAGGTTGGGAGAATTAATTCTAATTCCCTTAGTTAAGGGAATTAAAATTAATTGGTAATCCCTTAAATTAAGGGAATTAGAATTAATTTGTAATCCCTTAAATTAAGAGAATTGGTGAAATAGTTTCCTACTTTTTTTCTACTTGTAATCTCCTATATAATACCTTGTATTATCAATTCAAAGAAGTAAGTGAAATACAAAAGTATTTTTCTGATTTCCCACATCCGCCACTGGAGCTACATCAACCCTATCACAAATATATTCATTTCACATGTGTCTCTAAGTGTAAGTCACTCATACACCTAAGCATTCTCATGTCAGCAACACTAAACTTTGTTTTATGCTTCTCTTTTAAATGCCAAAATTCTGTGCCATAGAGAATTTAATTGTTGAACTCACCACCATCATATAATTTTTTTTTAAAGTCTAAGCAGTACTTTTTTATCACACAATAAGTCTGATGCATTCCTCCACTCCAACCAAAATACACCATTCTTTCTATTAAGATTAAAAAAAAATATTTTAAGATTATTTTTTAGCAAAGCTTAATGATAAATATACCAAAAAAATTATAAAAAAGTAGTTAAAAGAAATTATTAACTATTCAAGAATGCGAAAGATAAAATGGTTGAGGAATGGTTATTAAAAGAGGCCATTTGGAATAAAAAAAAAAACCTTGTGTCAAACTCAATGAGATTTAGAGTGAAGAGTTTAATTAATGAGATGCTAAGAGAGAGCCCACATAAGTCTTGATATATATGATATGTTATTTAAAATAATTTTTAAGTGGAGTTAGTAGGTACATAATTTTATTTCAAAATTTAAACGTTTGATTGTAGAATATTGCATTGCAATTTGGAAATACAAGGACGCTGGTAAGAATTGCAAATTGGGTAGTAAGCCTAGGTAAATTTATAAATTTTTATGATTTATATGGTAGGCCAGGTATGATGACCTATAAAAGTGAGTATTATGGTGTATGTTTTTTTCCAGTTTTGGTTTACCAAAAAACAAATATTGCTTAAATCAAAGACATTTAGGAAATTTGAAAAATACCACTGAAATCCTTATATATGTGTGTGTGTGTGTATATATATATATATATATATAATAAACATTTTAGTTTTGAATATTAAAAAATGGCATTTCACAATTGTTATGATCATTGAGCTAACAATGTGTTGGTCATAAAGCCATACAGTGATGTTATGCGCTAATTTAATGGAACAAAGGTCTTGAAAAATTATATTGACATTGGAGAGCCAATTTGGTTTTAATGAAAGGAAGAAGAATGCTGTGGCATTTCTTTTTTTAAAGCCATTAATGAAAAATCTGGAGGGTAACAAAAATATCTTCATATGATTTTTATTGACCTCACAAGAAACATGATTTTGGAGAGGAGATATCTAAGGTATAGTGAGTTTATGACTAAATATTTATTGTTTTAATTTGTTTTGGAGATATCTGCAATAAATTTTTTAAATTTAGTACTTTGTTATATGATATTTACATGTTTTTGTCCTCATAGGGGAGACTCCGTCAAAGTAAGAAAAATATTATAACAATTGAATCGAAGCTCTAAAAGAAAGCTTTTTTATAATTAATAGTAGGAAGGTTGAGTAAATATTTTGTTATTTCATTTAAAGTAAATTAATTAAGTGTCAATTAGTAAGTTGGGAGCCTCATTTGTGACTAATGTATGATAAGTTTGAACGTTCTGGGGATGCCCTATGCCCTCTTGAAGGCTAATGTTATATAAATACCAATTGATAGGCATTACATGAATCTTATACGTCTTAAAGTCTTGGTAACATGCAACAATATTTGTTACTGGCCTTTTTGTTGTTGGATCTCTTTTTCATATTATAATTATGGAAGATTTACATACCTATCACTCAATTAAAATATATTTACATATCATACATGCCAACTTAACTATGCATGAAAATGTGCATTTCACATTTTAACAGTTAAAATGGTGGAATTTTTAATGTGATATGAAAGATTTGAGTGGTATAAATATAAAAAATAAAATCTATCTATGAGATATGTTATATGTAAATATATAAAAGTTGGGTAGTGTGTATGTAAATTCCCCCATGATTATTTACAAAATAAGCCTATGTGGCAGACTCTGACCCTACGGAAATCATTATAATCCTTCCTAGAACTTCATATCTTTATGTCTTATATATGCATGTAACTTATGCATTTATGACCATGATTACACCAGTTCTATTACAAGTGACACTCTACATGCTTAGTGGTTAATTCGATTTTTGAAAATGCTGAAGTAGAATAAGCGGCTGGAAATGCTTAGGTTTGTTCATCCTCTCAATTTGTATTTATATACAAAATTACAAATAAAAAAGGAAATAAATATTTATGTAAAAAATAGCATTTAGTTATCTGTCATTTGATTATTTAAAGATCTCCGATTGATGCCGAGGGAGCAATCGGTTGGCTCGTACTTTCTCTTATTTGTATATGAATCCATGAGAGAGGTATTATCTTATAAGTTGCACTTGCATGAAACCTTGCGGGTTTTTATATATATGTGTAAAATAATGAGATTCTTATGCTATTATATTGTTTTTTTTTTGTTTAAATGGTTATATCAGTCTCCCTAATTTTCTTTTAGGATTTATAAAATCTTTTTACCAGGTGAAGATAAGGAACTGGTTAAATGGCATCGAAAGTACAAATATAGTTGGGCTTACTGCTAGATTTGGTTCCTCTCTGCCAAGACATTCTGCTGAAGCCCATCAATGGCCCATTGCTCTTGCCAATCCCTTCAACTGCTGTGCCAATCTGACTCCAAAGGTTCTTCTTTATTTCTTATCTGTTTTTTCGCTCTCATTGTCTAATTTATGCCTGCACCATTTATTTACACTTTATAACTGCTGAAAACTATGGCATGCTGGTTTTTTTTTGTTTCAATCTTAAGTTGTATAGTTTGAGGGGAAGCTTCCCTCAAGTTTAGTTCTCCTTCACTCATGCTAACTTCACCATTATAATGGCACTTCTTTGTAAGTGGCATTTACATACATACCACCCAATTCATATGTATTTATATATCTAACACCTAAATATTACTTTTTACATTTATATCACCCAAAATTTTCATATCACACCAAAATACAATCATTTTAACTTTTAGAAAGTGTAATACGTATGGGTAAGGTGGCCTATATGTAAAAATTGATGTTTAGGTGTTAGATATTTGAATACATAAGAATTGAGTGGTATGCATGTAAATCTACCTTGCTTTTTACTGAGTGAATATAAATCATCCTTGTTCCTTTGATTAGCTTTTTATTATTTTCTATTATTAGAAGGGAGAGAGACTTATGAAGAAGTACAACATTACTTCATTCTCTTCATTGTGCAACCATATGCGTCCTTACTTATAGGCAAGAGAAGAGAACAATAATGTAAAATACAATAGGAAGATTACATACATTTCACACAATTCCCATGAATTTATATGTCTAACACCTAAACTTCAATGTTTACATACATACCACCTTACCTATGCATGAAAAGGTGCATTCACTTTTTAGAACTTAAAATGGTGGTGTTTTTGGTGTGGTATGAAATATTTGGGTTGTAAATGTAAAAGTAAAATCTAGGCATTAGTTATGTAAATACATAGGAATTGGGTGGTATCTATGTAAATGCCCAATATAATAAATGAGAATATTCCTTAATAATGAAATGTAAGAATAATAATAATAATAATAATAATAATAATAATAATAAATGATTGAGGAATTGCTACACCCCGTGTCTGGAAGGCAGTTCAATCCGGTAACGTAGGACATGATGAAATGAATTGAACATGTTTTGTATTCTCATAAGGGAAATGTTATGCAAATAATAACAGAAAGAGATTAAAAAAAAATTATTCCATAAATAATGATACAGCTGTTATAACTGGAAAAAAATGAGATAACTGAAAGAAACTAAAATGAAAATAGGGAATCAACAACCCAATCAAAAAAAAAAAAATATATAATAAATTACACGAAACTAGAAAATACCAAAATATAGATGGGAAGGAGGGGGGCGGGGTTCGGTCCCTTAAATAGTTGAAAGGGGATGTATCAAATGAAAGAAAAAAGGGAAAGGCAGCAACTGGGGGTGAGAGAAAGAAAAGGAAAGGCTTGGGAGTCCCAATTGGGGGGGTGGGGGGGTGCTAGGTGATGGCTTTGAGCGAAACCTCAAAACGGGAAGGAGGGAGGCAGGGTTCGGTCCCTTAAAAAGTTGAAAGGGGTTGTATCAAATGAAAGAAAAAGGGAAAGGCGGCAAGAGGGGGTGAGAGAAAGAAAAGGGAAGGCTTGGGAGTCCCAATCGGGAAGACAACGGGAAAAGGAAAGGGAGAAAATTCATTTGTAAGATAGCAGGAGAAATTGGAAAAATTTTTAGTGAGGAAGCAATGGTAATTTCGGTGCTTGCATATTACGCTTATTAAAAGAATTTTGTCCCCAAATTCATACTGGCGTTTACATCAATTCAACTTGTAAGAAAATTATGTATGTAGGATGTATATGTGTTTTGTTAATAACAACTCACACTAATCAATGTAGCATGTATATGTGTTTTGTTAATAACAAATCACAATAATAAAACCATTGGGTGACAGGCAAGGATGAGTTAGATGACACAACTAATATGATCAGTGAATGTATTAAATAAAACAATGCAATAAATGTGATTTGATATAACATGAATGAGTGTGATGCCCCAAAGTTAAACAATTTTATTGCCAGTTGCTTTAAAATAGACCTATCACCGCATCGGGAGCTTCACGGGCTTCTTTTCGAGTCATAACAATGCTCGAGGTGGAATCTCCTGCATGGGCTGCTCTGGAGCCTGAGATCATTGACTCTTGTACTGCACCATTGTAATATGTCGATATGTTAGAGGCGGCTGCTGGTGCTGTTGATACTGCAATCCTAGAGAACATTTTTGATGTGGATGAGACACCATCACTTGTTGCGACTGCTGCTAGTGCTGAAGGTAGTATTGACATGTCTGTCTGTTATCATCTTGTTTTTGGTGTCAACCTTTATTAGACTTACCCCACTCATTCTTATGATGCTTGTCATTTCTCGTTTATTGTAGGCTTAGTTTGGGTTGGTAAGGGACAATCCTTGATCTTGTGTTCGGTGTTATAACAGTTAAAACACTTTTCAGTTGCTGGTTGCAAGGTATATGGTGCTCTTCCCACTGTGAGCGCAATTAGACCTATTCTTTGGTTTTTCTTTGGGTTGCTTCTTTTGTGGTTATTCATTTCCTTTCATTTTATGCGGTCTTTTCTTCACAAGAATTCATCCCTATTTCAGCATGTATAGCTCGGTCTACCAATTCTATATAGGTAGTACACTCCACAATCAAGAGATACCTTTGAATGTCCTCTCTCAAGTTAATAAGTAGGTGGCAGATCGTCTAATTTTCATGTTGATTAATCACACGAATGAAATTGACGATTCTGACAAATTGCATCTCGTACTCTCGAACGGTCTTTGTTCCTTGCTCCAGCGTAAGTCGTTCATGAGCTTGGTTCAATCCGCTAAAGGGAAGTATTTTTCTTGGAACAATCTCTAGAAATCTGCCCAGAAAGTTATTGTCTGGTCCAAACATGTTGCGGCGGTAATTTTCCTACCAGTCGTCAACTTCTTCGCTCAACTGGAATGCCACAATGTGAACCTTACAATCCTCATGACATTTTATTCCTCAAAGTCTCTTTTCAATATCATGCAACCATACATTTGACTTGATTAGTTCCACAATGCCATTGAAGGCAGGATGATGCATATTCAGAAACTGGTTCACCACTCGATCGATGACACTCATTGATCATCGTCGTTGGTTGATTAAGTTGTGTCTCCATGGCGACCACTAGTGTACTGTTTGAGTGGCTTATAGGCCGATTGCGCCTTTTGCTGAATAGCTTGGACAGCTCGTGAAATTAGCTTGTAGTGCTTAAGTAACATTTTGGGTCATCACCTCCACGAGAATTGTCATGTTAAGATTTAGTATTCCATTAGTCCCGGTGGTTTGAGCAGAACCAGCGTGACAACGGTTAGGGGTGCGAAGACCCCTAGGATAGACACATCATATATAGTAGCTCTATGTACTCCTCTTCCATGAGTGACTGTAGCGCCTCTTCTTTTCTGAGTCATTTTTAAGCAATTGAAAGATACACAAAATCAAAATTGTTTGAATATCGACTAACAAGAATAACATATCCTTTACCCAATCTTAAAGAAACAAGGGATGTGGAATGCGAAGACAAAGAATGTGAAATGCAAAGACAAAGGATATCAAGTACAAAATACGAGGGAAATTGAATGCAAAACATAGGCTCTGATACCACTCATTCACACCCCGAGTTTGGAAGGTGGTACATCTCGACAATGCAAGACATAATGAAATGAGTTGAACTTGTTTTGTATTCACGAAAGAAAAAAATAATCTGCAAATAATAACAATAAGAAATAAAAATAAATAAAATTTATTCTATTAATATGGATACGACTATTATAATTGAAAAAAAATGATATAACTGACAAAATCTAAATCGAAAATAGTGAAACAACTACCCAACTCGGAAAGAATATATAATAACTTATACATAACTTAAAAATACCAACATTTAATCAAAAACTGGAAAGTCTGCTCTGATGTAGACGACCCGGGAAGTGGCTAGATGAAACCTGATATAGAAATATCAACTGTTGAGTCTGAAAATCAAACTTAGCAAATAACTATTTATTAAAATATAAACAATAAAGAAATGAGGCATGCTGTATGACTTATAATTATGAAAATTTTACTGTGTATAACAAAATTTGGAAAAACTATCACGTACATATGATCATGAATATGAGTGACTTGAATACATGCACTTTTATGTAGATATTAATATGTTACAATATCAGATGTTTTTGCGCAGATATGACTCATCAATCATTTAACACAACCTGATGATATACAATTTCAGTATATACATATATATACATTTATATACATGTAATTATATTTATATATAATCGATTTACTATGACACTCTGAAACAAGGAAATGTATGCACCAATCTTATAAAAATCTATTGATTTCTGTGAAGTGACGTGTCCGACTAACTATAACAAAAGGATTTAATATCGATATAACAATATTGTAATATTAATTTTATTTTATGCATCACAATCAAAATATGGAAATATAACTACAAAATGTCCACCATTATTTTATAAACAGTTATGGAATTGTAATATTGAAATTTCGCATATCAATGCAAAAAAAAATAGTAATTATTGCAACTTGACATGTGAGTAATTAAATATGAGTCTATGTAGTAATAAAACAAGGTTAATTATACATGAAAATAATTATGAACACAATAAAATTTACTGCAATTGTATTAATGAAATTTAAATGATATGAATGACGAACTTACAATTATCTAGGAATCTAATACAATTAGCAAGGATAACGCTTTTATCTTGGAAGGGTACGTTTATCGTATAATAAAAAGCTGTAACTTACTTTGAGACGACAAACTTGATACTTCTACGAGTTTGACGGTTTGATTATTGATCCTACACTAATTAGAAAATAAGATTAAATATTTATAAAATTAAACTTATTTATTCATTAAATTAAGTGTATTCTAATAAACGTACAAAGTAATATAAAAAAAAAGAAATTATTGACTTAATTAACTTTAACTAATATAATCAAAGTAATATTTTATTTTTGTTTTATTTTGATATAGGGGAAAATTGAAATTTCTGAATGGATTTTACTTGTGTAACACCTTAAATTTTAATAATAGAAAAAAAATGACGTCTATAAATCCTATGAGCTCTTAAAACCAGTTTCACCTCTGGTTTGCCTTTGATGCCGGCTTAGGTAACCCATTGGAAGATGTATTACAGAATTCGAAGGAGCTGAAGTGCGAGGGAAAGACGAGTGTTACCTTCCTTGATTGTTTCGGGTAGGAGCGGGAGAAAGGAGGAGAAAGACGTCATTATCCCGTCATTGTCTGCTCCAATCACGATGAGGGTTTCGGGCACGAAAGCAAGAGGAAGGGGAGCTTGGTGATGGTCTCAAGTGAAGCCGTGAGACTGTAAAGGTTGGAGGCGGGGTTCGGTCCCTTAAATAACTGAGGGGAGGGAGTGATATCAAGCGAAAGAAAAAAGGGCGGGAGGAAGAAAAGGAGAGGTGTGGGAGTCCTAATCAGGAAGGCAACTGAAAAAGGAAAGGGAGAAAATTCATTCGTGTGATAACAGGAGAAACAAGAAAAAATTTCGGTGCGAAAGAAAAGGTCACTTCGGTGCTTACAATACTACCTTTCAATACTACTTGACTGAAACAATTGGGGAAATCAAGAGTTTCTCCACTCCACTCAATCATGTTTTTTTTTTCTAGTGTTTAGGTTTTTGAATTAGCAATTAACCTCAAAAAAAAAAGGAAACAAAAAAGGAAATTTACATTAGCAGCACACAATTCTTATGGATTTTTGTATCTCAGAACTTAACTTTCATATTTACACACATAGCACTTTACATATACATGAAAAGGTGGATTTGAATATTAAAAAGTGATAATTAGTGTAATTTTTGATGTGATACAAGAAAATTGAGTGCTCAATGTGTACGTACAGAAGTTTTGGTGTGAATATATAAATCCATAAGAATTGAGTGCTATGTATGCAAATGCGGCGCACCCCACACCCTCCGCCCAAAAAAATAAATAGAAAATTGCTATTAACCTTTGTGGCTTAGTCCATCCCACCTCAACTACTTTAATTTTCTTTTATCATCTATGCTCTTCATCGTAGCTGAAAATGGTATCTGTAGGAGCCTTGTAAAAATTTAATACTATTAAATTCGGAATATCGTGTCTACAATCATGACAACATAGGTTATTTATAGAATTTATGCTCTATAGCCACTCCATAGCTATATGAAGGGAAACTAAGATAGCTTATAACTAACATACACCGTTAAAACTTGAAATTTGTTGGGATAGTTACAAACAACGATCTAACATATATAAATAGATATAAGACCATACTTATATGATATTTATTGCATATTCTGGTTATAATAGTCAGCATATGTGCTAATTTAGATATGGTGGCATAGAAGATATAAACTTGAGTTTAAAAATCTTAGTGATCAAACACGAATTAGTTGAAGGCTTAATTGCCCAAAGATTGTGAGTATGATAACATGAGCTTTATATACGAACAGTGAAAGTAAGGTGACTCTGATGCAAAGAGTTAGCAGTGAGATCCTTGTAAAAAATATAACAAATTCTATATGTGGATCCCTGCAAGGAAGACCCACATCTAACTTTCTTATAATTGCATTAAAGTTTAATTACTTACGGCTATGGAAAATGCAAATAAAGTCCGTCCTTAAAAGAGTTCATTGTCATGCAGTTTATTTGGTGTCATTTTAGTCCCAGAGTATATAGAAGCGTCAAATTAGTCCCAGATTCCTTAATTTGGGGCTAAAATTGTTCTTCGTGAGAACTATTACTAAATTGACACTTTATAAACACTGGGACTAAAATGACCCCCCTGCAAAGAATTTGGGGACTATTTTGACATTTTTCTGGCCCTTAAAAATGGCTACCGATTTAGTGCTTTGGATGTTCTTTATGGTTTTCTGCTAGCTGAGACATCTTTCTCTTAAACTGAATTATTAAAGTATTAGCATTCTAACTTGTTGATCAAATCTGTTGCTGCTTCATTGATTTTGCTGTTTTTTTTTTGGTGTTGCATGAAATTGATTTAGGCCCCATTTGACATTACTTTTATTTCCTATTTTTTTAATTTTTTAAAACATGTTTTGTTGGTATAATTTTAATATGCCTTTTTTTTGTTTTAAAAATACTCAAAATATTTATAAGATGTTCTAAATATTTTTAAAAATGACAATCTCAATCAAATATGTTTTAATTCAAATAAAAAAGATCTCAAACAGCCTCTTAACAATTAGGAAGTTTTCTTTGCTTCAGCTATCAAATTCGATCGTCTTGGCCACTCGTGGAGATTGCACATTTACAGCGAAGGCAATTTTTGCGCAGACAGGTGGTGCAACAGGCTTACTGGTGATAAATGATGATGAAGGTTAACTTTTATGACACATCAATGATGCTATTCTTTATTTTTTTGTTTTTTTTATTTTAAGTTTATATTGCAAATTTATCTTTTCATGGAGATTATTAGCTTTATTTTTAAACCTGTTCCTGTGTTGTAGAACTTTACAAGATGGTATGCAGTGACAACGATACTTCAATCGCTATCACTATTCCCGTGGTGATGATACCAAAATCAGCTGGAGATCGGTTATCGGATTTGTTGGCTAATGGAGGGAGAGGTGAACTTTAGTTTTAAGGGTTTACTGAATATAAATGTGCTTAATTTTGGCAAATATTCTACCATTTTTATTCTGCTGATGTTTAGAAATTTTTCTTTTTTTATGCGATAACATGTGCTGATCTTTTTTATATGCTGAATGTGAAGCATGCATTGCTTAAGCGTAGTTTATATCTTCCTCTATCACCATTTTTATCTTACTGTTAATACCTTGGAAGATTTACGTACGCACGATCAATTCTTATCTATTTACATGTCTAACAACTGAACTTCAATTTTTACAAGCATAACACTATACATATGCATGACATGGTGGTTTGTGGCATGCTAATTAATACAAAAGAGGTGAGAGTTTTGGGAAGATTCAAAGAATATAATTCTTACCATGCTAACATCTTCGAGCTACGCCAAATAATTTTTAGAAAGGTTATTTGTTTGGGGAATTTACATGCATACCACCCAATTCTTATGTATTTACATATCTAATACCAAAATTTTAATTTTTACACTTATACCACCCATATCTTTCATATCACATTGAAATGTGAAATACACATTTTCATGCATATGTAAGGTATGTATGTAAAAATTGAAGGTTAGGTATTAGATATGTAAATACATAGGAATTGAGTGGTATTTATGCAAATCATCATATTTGTACATACAAAACCAATGCACTTAAAATATTATGTGTTTAAGTTGCTATTTAAGGGTTGGTTTCGTCTGGATCTAAGTTTGTTATCTCAAGTTTGGAAGTAGATCATTAAAGTTGAAGTTATATCAAGAATTTTTTAGTAAAATGTATGATTTATCAAAAGTATCATTTAAAGATTGATGCCGAGTATTTTGTTTCCGTTGAAGTTCAGAAGTCTTGTGGGATATAACTTTATTTTTTCGAGAAGTAAGAAGCAAGTATTATCACTAGGTCTAACATGTTGAATATTGATGTTGATAAGGTAGTGCAATAAAGATGAATTATGGTACTAAGACCTAAATAAGGAAAAGATTTGTAAACTTCTGTAAATGTGTGTTTTTTTTTCTACAGGGATCTGCATATCAGATTTCTTATATATTTTTGGGGCATTTTTATAAATACCACACAATTCTTATGCACATATATAACATGTAAACTTTAATATTTACGTTCCCAATACTCAAAGCTTTATCATCACATCAAAGAACCACTTTTAGTAAACTTTTAAAAGTTAAATGCACCTTCTTTTGCTTAAGTTTATGGCACCAAGGTGGTATAAATGTAAATATCAAACTTTAGGTGTTAGGTATGTATTCGTAAGAATTGTGGGGTAAATATGTAAATTTTTTTTTTTTTGTTCTGTTCTTGTTGTATTTTTAAGGCAGATAGAGAAAATTAAATTTGTCAATGTTTTAATGTTAGCTTCCATGTATTCTTGAAATAAATTAGGGAAATTTGCATACATACTGTAAAATTCCTATGTATTTTCATATACAACACTCAAAGTTTGATATTTATTCTTATAACACATTGACGTCATAAATCTATATGTCACTTTTAAAATGATAGTGTTGGTGGTATTTTAATGTGATATTAAAGATCTGAGGGATATGCATGTAACTGTGAATGTTTAGGTGTTAGGTAAATACATGAGAGTTGTGTGGTATGTATGTAAGTTGCCCTACAAATTAAATTACTGTTATGCTTCTCGTCCATACTGACAATGGTGGTTTGTGCACTTGTTTGTATCATAGCTCTTCGGCTTTGTAACCTATTTATTATTTTTTATTCTTTCTAACAGTGGAAGTCCTCTTATATTCTCCGGAACGACCTACTGTGGATATATCCGCAACCTTTTTGTGGTTGATGGCCGTTGGAACGATTGTATGTGCTTCTTTATGGGCCGAATTCGTTGCTTGCGAACCCGTTGAAGAGCGATACAATCAGTTGGAATGGAAGGTTTTTTGTTTCCTTGCCTATCTCTTTTAATAATTCATGCACGAAATCTTGTTACGAACTAGTTTAGGAACTTTAAATGCCGCGAATCAATCCATTTTTTTCTCGTACTTTTATAATACACGTAAATGTTAAATAAGTCTTTCTAATTGCTTAGTGGGTTTATTTTAGTTCCATAGTTTATTAAAAGCATTAATGTAGTCCACAAATTTTTTAAATTTGCGCTGAAATAGTCTGCCGTGGGATTATTTAAGCTCGTTAAAAGTGTTTGGGGATTACATTGTTTCTTATATATAGACTCCCACTCCCTGCAAAATATTAGGGGACTATTTTGACACTTTCCCCTGTAAAATAATCATTTGTTCAACGAGTGATATTTGTTGTTCTTTTCTCTGTTATTAACATTTTTATGTTAATCATTGATAGGTAAAAATACTGTTTAAGTTTTTTTTCGTAATAGTCTTCAAGAAAATAACATTTGCCTACTGCGGTAAATATGCAAATTTTGATGTGCCGCTTTTCTTTAGAAGAATATAAATCTTTGTAATTATGAGCACATAATATTCTTGGAAAATTTAAATAGGTAACGCACAATTCTTTTTTATTTCAATATCTCACACCCAAGCTTTCATTTTTACACACATAGCACTTTAGTGCTTTAAATCTCTGCATAAAAGGTGTATTTTACTTTTAAAAAGCGGTTATAATACTATTTTTTTTTTGTGATATTAAAGCTTTGAGTGTTACATGTCTAAATATGAAAGTTTAGGTGTGAGATACGTAAATACACAAGGAGTGTGATATGCATATAAATGCCCCAATATTTTTTGATGCAATACATTTATGTGAATTTTCCTACTTTTTTGGTGGTTTAAGCAGGAGCAGACTGATGCCGGAATGATCAACAGGGAAAATGAGAAAGAAATTCTGGAGATTAATGCCAAGGGAGCTGTAATTTTTGTAATTGCAGCATCAGCATTTCTCATGCTGCTGTTCTTTTTCATGTCCTCCTGGTTTGTTTGGCTGCTGATTGTCTTGTTCTGCATTGGCGGCGTGGAGGTATATTGTCATTACAGATTTGTATATTTTGATTCTATTAAGATTAGAGAAATTTACATACGTAGCACACAACTCTTATGTATTTGCATATCTCACTCCTAAAACTTTCATATTTACATGCATAGCACTTTGATGCTTAAAATCTGTAATTAATAATCTGAGTGCTATGTGTGTAAATTTGAAAGTTTAGATCTGAGATATGTAAATACATAAGAATTGTGTGCTATTAAGATTAATATCTTGGTACTGGTTATTTGTTGTAGGATTAGGATTAAGATTTGTTTTCAATGCAATTAATCTGATGCATAGTATGCTTTAATGCAAATAAAAATAGAGAACTTGCATTTTAAAAGTAATTAATTAATTCAACTTTTTTTTTTTTTTGAAGTCTTAGATGCATACCCCTTAATTCTTATGTATTTCCATATCTAACGCTTAAACTTTAATATATATATATATGCCACGTTCCCTACGGATGATAATGTGTATGTCATTTTTTTAAAGTTAAAATATTTGTATTTTTTATGTGATATCAAATATTTGGGAGGCGTAAATGCAAAAGGTAAGGTTTAGGGGTTAGATATGTACACATAGGATTTGGGTGGTATAAATGCGAGAGGTGAAGTTACTGAAACCTATCCATAGTTTTAGTTGTAAGATGAACCGCAAAGAACCTTAGCAGCTGGTCCTTCAACTTTAACATGAAAGGCCCCAAAAGTAAGGTCCATTGACAAAATGATTTGAAAGGCCTAAATAATATTATAATTAGACTAATACTAAATTAATCAAGAGGCGAAACAGCTGGTTTTCGAAGGCCCAAACAGCAATATTCGAACTTTCCAATAAGGACTATGGGCTGTAATTCAGCCTTGATTATCTATAATTTGGAATTTAAGCTGCAGCCAAAATTACGACCCTTCCAAAGGCTAATAATGACAATGTGTTGCATCAAGGAATACAACAGCAACTAAAGCCCAATAAGTTTCGTCTCCTTTTAAATGGAACCAAACCAACAGTAGCATTATTGTATACTAACTGCAAATGAACAGTCAAACCAATATAGACATTAGAGAATACAACTCATTCTGTTTTGCACTACTTATGACGCGGCATCACTTGGGGGCCAATTTCGTTGTCCGCACCAGTTCTTTTGGAAGTTGTGACAAATAGTTTATGTGAATGAATACATAAAGCTTGTTTATTTCTAAATCTGGTCTAGTGATACACTTTGATTGGAAACATTACATGCTAACAAATCTTCCCAATTTAAAGAGTATGAGAACTAATTTGGCACATTTACTCACTATGGGCTAAATTGGTCCCATGTTGACAGTCAGGGGACTATTTTGGTACTTTATTCTTATGCAATTTAGAGATTTCAAATGTTCTAAGCAGATCTTTAAAAGTGGGGATTTAGTATCTCGGCTCTTTTAATATGGGCTGAAATGATCCCCACGGATGACGATTTTAGTCCCAATTTAAAAAGAATATCAGGACTAATTTATCATTTTTATAGACTCTTAGGCTAAAATCGTCCCACGTAAACAGTCAGTGGACTATTTTTGCACTGTACTCTATGTAATTTAAATATTTCAATGTTCTCATCAGAATCTTTAATGTGTACCATGTTTGTACAGTCATTTTCTCTGTATTTGATTATTAGATATTGATTTCAGAAGAACTAAGTATTACTTCAAAATAAGGTTTAACCATAGCAGGGATGATGAATAGTTAGAAGTTATTCAAGTGGATATTTCTGTGCAGGAAACTTCAAGAAAATTACAATCATAATGGCATTTTTTCACTTGACCTATGTGCAAAAAAAACTATACGAAACTAAGATCTGCTTTTAAACTTTTTGTTGCTTATTTGAATAATTTTCTTTTCAGGGAATGAATGTTTGCTTAGTAGCACTTTTGTCAAGGTATGGCCACAAGTCAACATCTTGATAAACTTCTATTTTTTTCGCCCATAAGACCACTATTTTTATGCATTTAGTTTTTTGACAGGGTATTCAGAAATTGTGGCCGGATGACGACACGGCTTCCAATTTTAGGGGAGGTCCTTGTTCTCTCTGTTGTTATGCTACCACTGTGTACAGTTTTTGCCGTTTTTTGGGCTGCTAATCGGCATGCGTCATATGCTTGGATAAGTCAAGATATTCTTGTAAGATACTTTTTACATGTGACTATTTTTTCGAAGCTTTCAATCGTAATATTGCTTGTTTTCTTGAGCTTATTAGTCATTTTCATGGTTGCAACTTTTCATATATTTGGAGAAAGTTATGTTAGTTTTATTTGTTATGTATTTTCTGATAAAGGATGATAACTTATTGAGTTTTACCAAACCTTTTCATGAATTAAAGCTTGAATTATGGAGTTAAGATTGAATTGAAATTTGTTCTGATTCAATTTGACATAGAATGCAACGGTCTTTTTATCTGTGTGTGTGTCTTTATATATATATATATATAGAGAGAGAGAGAGAGAGAGAGAGAGAGAGAGAGAGAGCGCACACCCACACGTACACCTTCGCATAAAAATTAAAAAGGAGTTATTTATGTCGGGCTGCTATAAATTGGAAACAGATTTTGATGCTAACACCCAAACATGAAATTAGACATATACAGGCTTAGTCGATTTTGATTCATCTAAAAGATTGAGTTAGTTTGGATTAAGTTTTATTTTGGTCATATTAAATGTTGAGAAACATTATAATATGCTAGAGCTCTATATTTTGGCACTTTCTTTCCAATCATCATGCATAATCCTATTCCAATTATCCAACCTACGATCATTAATCTAGAATGGATTATACTACAAATGATTGTTAGCAATTACTTTCTATACAATAATAAGCCCTTTGATGATATATCATGGTATTGAAAATTTTTTTGCAAATTTTTTTATTAAATTGTTACTAGACCTAACATCTTCTTTATTGTTAATGTGTTACATGTAAAATCTAAACTATAAACCTTAGGAGGTTGTTTTGCGCATATTCAAATATATCAAATAACTTCTAAAATAAGGATTATGTTATATTTAGGCAGAGCGCATGAATGTGGAAGCATTTTTAGATATTCTTTTTCTTAAGAAGATTATTACTTAATGTCTCTGGTTTGGAACGATAGGTTGTCTTTTTTTACAGAGGCTTTGGGTTCCTTATCTTTCTCATAATTTTTTCTTTGGTTTAGAGCAATCGGTTGACCAAAAGCTCTGAGTTTTTTATCTTTCTTGTATTATGTAAAACAAGCAAAATCTAACTAATGCACATGTTTTAGCTTGAGGGAGAGTGTTAAACATAGAGAAATAGTATAATAGAAAACTGCTCTATATTTGGAACATAGTGTTTGGGTTTTGGATTTTACTCAAATCTATTGTACTTTTTCCCATATTATAACTTTGGGTGATCTCTTAAAAGTAAGACATACAAAAATCTTTTTTTCTTCTCAACAGGCTTCAAATAATCCTTTTTCTATTTATGAGAGCATGATGCACTTTAGAAAACTGAAGATTGGTTTGTGAAATTTCCTTCTATCATCTCTTTTAGAACTGTAAATAATTCTAATTTATATTTCTACCCATGATGATCGGCTTGTATGCTTGCCCATGGAAAATGTCATTTCTAACAGGAGATAGTTTTTTTAATCAGTAAGCTTATGCTACAATGGACCATTCTCTGTGTTATGGGTAAATTTGCAATTTCATAGGAACCCATGAAAACTTAGGGTCCATTTGGGGTAGCTGTAACTGTTTGAAGACACAACTGCTTAAAAAGTTGCGGTGACTTTTGCTAATTTTTTATTTTTCAAAAAGACAGAGCGTAGCTTTCTATCAGCCACCGCATTTTGCGGGGTCAGATTGCAAAGCACAGCTTTCAGCTGTAATTTTTTGAAGAAGTAGGTAAAACACAGTTCTGCCAAACACAAAAAGGTGTGGTGTGACACTTAAACGCTTCCTTAGATGGCTGATGGCTGTTTCGAAACATAATGTTATTCTATGAACTTCTTCAATCCTTTTTGAGATGCTGTTCTTTGAATCATTATAGAGTTCTTTTTTTTTAATAAGGCATTTACTTACATACCACCCAATTCTTATGTTTTTACATATCTAATACCTCAACTTTGCTTTTAATTTTGAAAAAAAGTGAAATACACCTTTTTATACGTAGGTAAGGTGGCATATAAGTAAAAAATGAAATTTAGCTGTTATATATGTAAATACCTAGGAACTAAGTGGTATTTATGTAAATCTTCCTTTTTTTTCCATTAATGATTTTGACGCGCCATCAATCATTTTATCGAAACTTTTGGATTGCCAGGGCATCTGCTTAATGATCACCGTATTACAAATGGCCCGCCTACCAAATATTAAGGTTCTACTTAGTTTACCATCATATAATTTCTTGAAAAATTTGTTTATTACAATGTTACTCTAATCTAGTTTTGTTTCTCTTGCACAGGTTGCTTCAGTACTCCTAAGTTGTGCCTTTGTGTATGATGTATTCTGGGTGTTCATATCTCCACTTATATTTCATGAAAGTGTTATGATTGCAGTTAAGTACCTCATAATTCATTATTTCATCTTTTTCTATCTAGAATTATTCTTTGTTTTATCTTTTTTTTTCCATGATTGTTTTCGGCATATCTCCTCTGATATTTAAGCTTTATTCTGATTGATTCTATACCAATCTTTTATGTGATTTAGAATTTTTGGTTTTTTTATGGAGGGCTGTTATAATTGTATTTCTTTGGGGCATTTACATGCATAGCACCAAGTTCTTATGTATTTACATATCTAACTCCTAATTTTTACTTTTTACGTTCATACCATCAAAATCTTTCATATCACATTCGAAGTATCACTATTTTAACTTTTAAAAAGTGAAATACTCCTTTTTATGTATAGGTAAGGCGGCATATATATAAGCACATGGAAGTTTAGGTAATTTGATATGTAAATACGTAGGAATTAAGTAGGAAGTATGTAAATCTTCCATGAATTTCTATGCTCTTAACGCCATTGCAGAAGACTATATATATTATTGTATGCATAATGGGACCATAATACAATCACTTGGAGACTTAAAACTATATCTCAGTTTGTTTGAGAAAAGATTATTAGTTTCGGTGCAGGTATCTGAAAACATGTATCTGAGAGATAAACTGTAATAATTTGAAGGAAACTTTACACATATACCGCTCAATTTTAATGTATTAACATATCTAACACAAAGTTTGATATTTACATTTATATAGCTTTGGTTTTATAAACAGATGCATGAAAAGGTGTATTTCACTTTTTAAAAGCTAATAATAGTAGTATTTTTTATGTAATGTTAAATATTTTAGCTATATATGTAACTTTAGATGTTAGATATGTAAATATATAAGAAGTGAGAGGTATTTATGTAAATGCTCCTACTTTGAAATGCAAAACTTCATCTACATACTATTAATCAGAGCCCTATTATTATCATCATCACCATCACTCCACTAATATAGATTACATAAGTCAGACAAGGGAAAGTGATTTAGGCTGCCATCTACTTGTGAACAGATTTTCTTGTTGAGTAGGTGGTCTAATTTCTAATATTGAAATGTCAATATCTTGAATTGCATAGTAAATACTGCTACGTACGAGGGTAAACGAGCCGAACACGAGCGAGCTCAAGCTCCACTCATGTTCAACTGGTTAAAAATATCACAGTTCGTATTTGGCTCGTTTATATTTCAAACAAAAAAAAACTTGTTCGTGTTCGACTTGTTTGCTTAGCGAGCCGAACACTAGTAGTTTGTCAACAAAGAGTCGTTAAGGGTTGGGGCGAGATTTAAATTTTATTATTTGTATTAAAATGTCATTTAAATAGAATTTAATATATTTTTATATAATTTTTAAATTAATACTTTTAATTGATAAAAAATCTGTATAGCCTTATAGTCAATTAATTTTTTTTAAAAATGCTATTCATTGATTATATATATAGACACAAACATATAATTTAATTATTTCGAGCCAAAATGAGTCAAACACAAACAGACAAATCTTAGTCCGTGTTCGGCTTGTTTATATATCGAAGGCAAAAAAATTGTTTGTGTTCGGCTTGTTAACTTAGCAAGCAAATCAATTAAGAGCTTTTTAGCAAGCCGTTTTTAGGGCCCTATTGCTACCGTTGTATGAAAGTTTTGACTAGATGTAATCTTTAGTCGGAATTACTAACAAGTGTATGTACTTATTTGCAAGATACTTCACAATTAGAAAGGAAAATTCACATACATGCCACTAAATTCCATATTATTTACCTAACACCTAAACTTACAATGTTTACATATATATCACCTTACCTATGCATGCATTTTACTTTCCAAAATTTGAAGTAGTGATATTGTCTGACAGATTTGGTTGGTATAACTGTAAAAAAAAAAACAAAATTTAGGTTTCAGATATGTGAATACGTAAGAATTGGGTGGTATGTATGTAAATGCCCCTAAAATATTATATTTTTTAGTTGCAATTTCTATCATCTTATGAAACATTTTGAATATTAGATGACATGAATGGACTGATCATGTGTCTTTCCTATTTAGGTTGCTCGTGGCGACAATAGTGGAGAGACGATTCCGATGCTTTTGAGAATTCCTCGTTTTTTCGATCCTTGGGGCGGCTATGATATGATCGGCTTTGGGGACATACTTTTTCCTGGTCTACTAGTTGCATTCAGTTACAGGTAACTTTATGGATATATTTGCAATATTTTTACTGACTGTTGACATTTCCATCCATAGCATACAGTTCTTATATATTTACTTATCTCACACCTAAACTTTCATATTTACAGACATGGCACTCAAATCTCTAATATCACATCAAAATTAGTACTATCACCACTTTTAAATGCTAAGTACTCCTTTTCATGCATAGGTTTAAGTCGCCTAAGTGCCATGTATGTAAATATGAAAGTTTAGCTGTGAAATATGTAAATACATAACAATTGTGTGCTATGTATGTAAGTTTCTCTTAATTCTAACTTAAAACTGAAGCTTTAGTTTAACTTAGAAGTTCATGATGTCGTCGTCGTCATCATCAACATAACCACCATTTTCATCATTAGACTTTCATCTACATATCTAACGACCGAGTCACAATTTTAAGCGCCAAATACACATTTTCATGCATAGGTTTTTAATTCTAAAATGTTATAAATGTGAATACCAAACTTTAGATGTTGGATAGGTAAATACATAAGAATTGTGTGGTGTTTATGTAATTTTACCTTATATATTTATATTGCATGTAATAACCAAATGATGTTTTGATCATTCACAATTTCGCACTTTGTTTCTGAGCTATTGAATTTGTGCAGATATGACAGAGCCAGCAGGAAGGGAATCCTCAATGGTTATTTTCTTTGGCTAACACTTGGATACGCATTTGGTGAGTCACTTTTGAGTCCACTTATTTCTCTGATATTACATATAAGTCTTTTTTTTCTTACTTATCTACCTTCAATTTTGTTTAGTGAAAATGAGTTAGCAAAGTCAAGTCTCTGCTAAACATGCAAATAAGCCTTTTGTTGCAGAGAATCTCCTAATCTTTTTATCTATATATATATATATATATTTAATGCAGGTCTATTGCTAACTTACATTGCTTTGTATCTTATGGACGGCCATGGCCAACCTGCTCTGCTCTATCTTGTTCCTTGCACATTAGGTAATATCACACCATTCTCTTTTCCACAATCACTAAATAACTTTTTTTTTCTTAACTTTATTTAACATTCATTTAATTGATATTTATTTATTGAGAAATTTACTCACTGCACAATTCAAATGTATTTACATATCTAACACCTGAAATTTGATATTTTCACTTATAACATGTTGCTGTCATGCATGAAAAAATACATTTCATTTTTATAAAATAGTGATGATGATATTTTTTATGCGATGTTAAAGTTTTGAGCAGTATGCATGTAAATCCGTGTTTAGGTATGTTAATACATAAGAATTGTGTGATATGTATGTAAATGTGTCGTTTTTATATTATTATTTTTAATGGGGCATTTACATAAATACCGCACAATTTTTATGTATCATGTATCCAATGCCTAAACTTTCTTATTTACTTTTTTAACCCTCAAAACTTTAACATTACAACAAAAATATCACCATTTTTTACTTTTAAAAAGTGAAATACACTTTTTCATGCATGGCACACCAGAGCGGTATGAGCGTAAATATCAAACTTTAGGTGTTATATATGTAAATACATAAGAATAGTGTAGTATGTATGTAAATTTCTCTTTTTTATTGGGACATTTACATTGCACACAAGTCCTATGTATTTATGTATCTAATACCTAAACTTCATATTTTACAGTTTTACCTCCCGAATCTTCTATATCACACCAAAAATATCACAATTTTAATTTTTAATATGTGAAATGCACATATTCATACATAGGTAAAGTGGAATGTATGTAAATATTGAAGTTTAGGTGTTAGATATGTATATACATAAGAATTATGTAGCATGTATGTAAATTTATCTTCTTTTGGGATAATTACATACAGACCACCCAAAACATTGATATTTACAAATTAATCAGCTAGGTGATTTTTTTGAACTCCCGAACTGATGTATTTACACGTGCCACAATCAAATGATTGAGAATTTGATAAAAATGAAAAATATGAGTTGGGGGTTTTACAATGAATGTTGATATTTGAGTGAGAATTTGAAAATGGATGAAAGAATGTGGTTGATTTGTAAATAGCAATGTTCGGGTGGTTTGTATGTAATTGCCCCCCTTTCTTGGGGCATTTATATGTCGGCCAAGTTTCGGTGTTTGATACGTAAATACATAAGAATTTAGTGGTATGTATGTAAATTTTCCTCTTTTTTATTTGATTGATATTATAAATATTTCTATGATCAGGACTTATTGTCATATTGGGTTGGATGAGAGGAGAACTGAGCGATCTGTGGACTTATGGGAGGAGTCAGTCAAGAGATAGGATTGCTGCAGATGTTTGATCACCATCATTACAGTTTTTAATGCATTTCGTGATGATGATTTGGGATTTAATCATCTCTAATATTGTACACAAATTTAATTACAATTTAACACCCCTGTAAATGTAAATTTAAATATATTTATTTAATTTGACATAAATGTACTCCCATGTATCATTCCAATGTTGGCAATCAGCTGATTATATTCTGGCTTTTGTTTATTTGGAAGATTTACAAACATGTAACTAAATTCTGTTGTATTTACATATCTAACCCCTAAATATTTATAGTTACATGCCTATCATTTAATTCTTTAACATCGCATCGAACATATAACCATCATAACCTTTTTAAAAGTAAAATACACATTTTCCATGTATTCTAGAAGTAAAATGCACCTTTTTCATGTAAAATGATTTCATTTGAACAACAAGAGTTGTTTTGCTAAAAGAAATGGGGCCAGGCTTTCTTCTGTGTCTAATGTCAGACAAACTTGCTGATAAACTTTGATTCAAGCCCAAAATAACAAAAAGGGGACAATTTTATACAATACAGTCATTTGCTTTCATTTAATTTTCAAATTCTCATATAAATATCAAATTGAGGGTAAAACCGCAACCCATCTTTTTTTTATTTTCATCAAATTCTAAATAAAATTCTTGATAATTTGATCATGGGAGGCATAAATACATCGGTTCGGTGGTTCGAGAAAGTCATCTGGGTGTTTAATTTGTAAATATAAATGTTTTAGGTGGCCAACATGTAATTATCTTAAAAAAAGAAAGCTAATCTTCAACCAATAAAAAAAAAACAAAACAAAACATAAATCCAATGTAAAGTAAATCCTCAATGATTTTTTCAATAATCTAACACAATTTAATAGACTAACATCACATTATATAACATAATTCAACTAAAAATTTGTCCAAATAAACCATTACTGCTTAGCATTCAACTATCATTATCTACCAAAATTCCCCCAAACTACAAATATGCAGCTTGGAAAGTAACATTTAAGCATATTACCACGATAAAATAAGCTAGAATTTAAGACAAATTAAATAATAAAAATAAATTATAGAGAGAATAAATATCTCCTGCATTGAATATTATAGAGCAGATGTCTCCAATCAACTGATTCCTCAATTGCGGCTGATTCTTGTACTTTAATCTGAACTGATTCTTCTTCCAAACATATTATCTCTTCAGCCAACTTTGTCACTTTTGCTTGGAATTTGGAAGTTCAGCAAGACCGTAGAAGCATATCCTCGTACTACCTTCTATAATTCTCTCATTTAAGTGAGCTCTATATAAGTTCCAGAATTCAGCACTGTGGTGAATATTTGAGAAAAAAAATATGATTAAAATTAGCAGTTTTGTTCGAGGTTTTGAAACCGGAAGGAACATTAAACTGGAAGAAGAAAATGTTACCGTTTATTAGCTCAGCCAGAGTTGAACGGATGATGTAGTAAATATAAATATTAATTAAATATGATCTAAATGATAAAATAATGATATAATATTGACAAATATAAAGAAGAACAATCTAATAACAGGTAAGAATCAAGTTGGTCAAAGATCTGAAGGCCGTAAAGCTCTACAACACGAGCCTACGGGGGAGTAATACTTCTACACCACAATGTGACGCCCTTACGCCGCTCGGGATCGCACAAAATCGATTGCTCTAGGCTGATATGTGGTTCGACCGATTCACCGATCTACAGATTGAAGCGTTGGTTTGACCGATTCTGGGCGGTTCAAAACCAGAAAGCTTTTTTTAAATGATTCAGATCGAACTGGCCATTAGTTTGCGGTCGAACCAGTCGGTCCGGTTCAGTTTTCTAAACTGGAGGTTTTGTTTATGTAACAACTAGGTGTATCAAATTGGGTTTGCAGGTTCCGGGTCTAATCCAACTCGAAACTAATGGACTGGAACTCTAACCTGAAGATTAAACATATCAAAAATTGCAACCATAAACCAGCCTACATAACCCATTTAATCTATGCATAACAGTTATGAAGTGCGGCTCAAATTTAAGTCCTTTCCGAGTTGGCAGATCAAATTTGGATCAATTTAGGGTTGACGGGTCAGCTCGAACCTGACCAGGAAATTAAACAGGCCAACCCAAATCCAAAACTATAAAGTTAGGTGGTATCCGCTCAATGTTTGGCACTCTTAACGCCAACTGCTGATATAAAAGAAAGCAACAGCTTCATTTGGGGCAACTTCTAAAAACAGCTATAGTGGTAGAAAATATAATCTGCTAGGATTTTTTTTTTTAAATTTATATTTTAAAAACTGTTCTTTGGATAAATAATAATAGAAAATATGATGAAAAAAATAAATTAATTGCAAAATGACACGAAAATATAAACCGCATCAAACAGCCATGAGATTTTAAGGTAAAAAGTCAAGGCCTTACCTCACTTGCGGTAGTGTGAGAAGAGAATAGCCCTTAACATCCCTTCGGATGTCTAGAACAATTATGGCTAGGCGTGAAAGCATTAACGCATCCATGTCGATCAGCTTCTTTATCCTGCCAGAAAAAATTTAGTGAAATTTACACACATACCAGACAAATCTTATGTATTTATATATCTAACACCTAAACTTTAATCTAAAACATAATCAATTCAACTTGAATTCAATACAAATTGAAGTTCAATAAAAAATTTAAACTTGAAGTCTAAATAAATAATCTAATCAATTTCACAGAGCCTAAATTTAAAATAAACCAAACTTAAGCTAAATCTAAATTCAAAACATAAACTAATCTTAAAATAAACGCAGTGAAAACCAACACTAAAATGTAATTAAAAAAAATTGATGTTAAACTCCAAATAAAACATAAATTTAAATTAAATCTAAAACTCAAAATTAAAATCCAAATTAAAACTCAAATTAAACTAAGAATTAATTTTAAACTAAAGTATAACTGAACTTAAACCAAAACCCAAGCCAGCATCAAGCTATTCCGCTCCTCAAATTCTAACCCTTGATTATTGAGGTTAAAAGCCCTGAATCCCTCTATTTCTTGCACTAAGTCCATCAATTTTGCTCTCCCTATTTATCCAGTCAAAAGAGGCGGCTGCCCTCTATCTCTCTCTAGTTTGGCTACAGCAGCAAGGCACGATCTCCCTCTCGGTTTTGGGGTACGAGGCAGCAAGCTGAGTGGAGTGTCCTCTTCCTCTTCCATTCGTATGAAGTTGCAGCCGCTTGCATTCCTGGTTTGCATGATAAAGCTCTGTAATGTAATACTACACGAATGAGGGGGAAGCATGAAATATATGTATGCATAAATATAACTCCAGAAACTTCGAATATCAACATGAAGTCTATCATGACTAACACAAATGTTTAATTTGAACGAATTTGTTCGCTTTGTATGCTCATCAGTGAAATGAAGTCAATGAAAAGATTCATTTCAAGAAAAAACTTACCTTTGCAGAGAGGCTGTCGAGTCCGCTTGGTAGTCAAATTTGTGTAGGTTTTAAGACAAATTTATTGGCTGTTTTGCAATAGAAATTGAGCAGGTTCTAGCAAGAATTGAAGGCTGCTTGGTGGCAAGATTTGAGAAGGTTTTCAGCATATTCAAGGGCTGATTTGCGCAAGAATTGGGTTAGATTTCAGTAAGATTTATGAGGGATTTGAGATCTGTTTTGGTAGCTGCATTTGAGAGGTTCAAGAGAGATTTGCGGTTGTCTGGCAGCAGGATTTCAGCAGTGTTGAAAGCAAGTTTTGTAGGCTGGATTTAAATTCGTCATTTTTTATCTGACAATTTAAGTTAAAATCCTAATTAAATACGTTATCATACAGCCCCCACTTCAACTATTTCAGCTTTTCTCCATAGCTAGTAGCTCTACCACTTTATCAGTGGTGGAAATGAGAATTTTCCTGGCCGCCTATTCTAAAAGCACAATTTCTAGAAATTCTAGAGCTGGCAGTGACAAAGATGCCGGCTTTGTCTGTACATCTTCTCTCCCTTGAGCTTCTCTACTCTAAGCTTAATATTCTAAGAGAAGCTTCTGGGTCACCTCGCTTCAGGGGTAAAATATATATAAATACACAATCGTACAATTTTAAACTATGATATATATGCAATAAAATATATATGATATTAAAATTGTGAGCATTTACATAAATATCACACAAGTCTTATATGACTACATATCTAACCCCTAAATTTTAATTTTTATATTTATAACACTCAAAATCTTTCATATCATATAAAAAATAATACTACTAACTTTTAAAAACACGGCCTTTTAAGCATAAGTACAATGGTGCGCGTGTGTGTGTCTATATATATATATATATATATAATATATATATATATATATATATATATATATAAGGAAATCGGTATTTGGCAGAAGCCCAAATACCGATTTCTCATGCGCTAGGCCCCATGATGAGAGCCCGCGCCATTTGCCTAAATATTCAAGGACCCGGCGCCACTAAGAATCGAACCCGTGGCCTGGGGGACTTACAGTGAACCCCGCCAACCAACAAGCCACAGCTTGAGGCACACACTTGTGTGTGTGTGTGTGTGTGTGTATTTGAGATGATCCAAACTCAAACTCGACTCTAACAAATCAAAGTATATGTTTCAAGGGCAAAAACTATACATAGCCTTGATCATTGAAACACCACCACCAACAACAACAACAAAGCCTTAATCCCGCTACGTGGGGTCGGCCACATGAATCCTTTTCTCCATTGCGTACTATTTAATGTCATATTTTCATTTAGTTCTAATAAATTAAGATCATTTTTCATACAATAAGCCAAAAAAAAAAAAAATTGAAACACCAATTAAATTTTATTAATCAACACACACTTTGAGCATGGAATAATCGATAAGATTCTTTTATATAGTATGATTTTATAAAGTGAGCCTCCACGGCTTGATTCCTTCCAAGTGAATAAAAGAGAATAAACAGATGAGACAAATTATATGAAAATAAAATAAAGTGCACAAATTACACCAAGGAGTTGAAAGTAAGAAACGATGGCTGATTAGATGGAAGATGAGCCTCGACCAAACCTCCAATCACTTCTTTGATCATGAAGTTTTCTATCACTACTCCTTTGACTCTTCCTTGATCTGCCACCTTGCTTGCCAAACTTGTTTGCTTTTTCTTAAACTTGCCTTAATGGATACTTGTTTGCTCCTTGAATATTCACAAACTCCCTGTTGTGTATGCTTAAATTGACATGCTAATTTGACTGTTATAGGAATCCCACCTGTGACTCCACCTGGGGTTATTTTCAAAAACCTAAAAAATTCACTTGTATAATTAATCCATTTTATAATCACTTGGCTCGGTTTTCGAGAAAATGTTGCAGGTACATGCTTCTAATACTCTATATTCTAGCATCAATGATTAGGGTCCCCAATTGAATTGGATATTTTTTTCTCCTCTAAGGACATAAATTTGAATTAGATTTATATCTAACTATGGCATATAGTTGAATTTGAAGATGTTCTCCCTTATTCCTCTTCTTGTAAAATATCTGGTCATGGCTTCTCAAAATACTTCAAAGTACATCGAGAGCTATGACAGACCTAACAATCATGACAGTGATGAACAATTATCCGATTAAATCATATCTTCTAATACTATGGTGACTATCCCATATTCTTCTAATATTATACTCAAAATTTAGAATCAGCTTTGGGTCTTGTCTACGAATTTGTCTTCCCAAGTTGCTATCCCAATCCCAATGCCTAACCACATGATTATTTATCCAATTCCCTATGGAATTATTACTTTTTATGTTCTCCTCCAATGAAAGTATTTCAAGCACAAAGAAGCAGGCGGAAAAGTTGTAATTTCTATATGCTCGAACAAGAAAAAATAGAAAGAAACTATTTTGAATGTTATTACTATCTGAAATATAACAGTCTCTTAATTATTAAGACCACCTAACGGCTTTCTTTTGACCTTATCAATATATTTATTTTTAGTTCTATTGATCTACTAATGCTTTTACCTTGAGCTGTACATTTTTAATGAATTATGATTTATCTTGTTTTTATTTCAAGAAAAAGGTAAGGTTAAGAAAAGTGATGATGAAATAAGAAGGGGAGTCACAGCTTAAGAGAGGGGTCTTAAATGAAATCTTTAGAAAAAGAGAGCCCCCTTTGCCAACTAAAAGAAGAGCAGGAGAGAGGACTCATTAGATGACTTTCTGGATTAAACTCCCCATTATATGAATGAATATCAGAATAAATCATAGGTACAGGATAGATAAGTATTAGAAAAAAAAAATTGAATATTAATTAGGACCTCAAACTATCAAATAATTAAGCATTTAGCTTGATAACCGTGCTTTTATTTATATAATTCAATTTTAGGAGAATAATATTATCCTTTTGATTTGGCTCACCATGCACATGTGGATTTTAGTTTTAAGCTCGACGCCAACTTTGATTCGACATTATAGACCTGAATTTTATACGACTGGGTATGGGTCTAACTTTTGACTTGCCAATTAATGCTCAAGTCTTATAAGTCATTCCTTTCCTGCTTAATAAATCCATTTCATACTTCATAATTGCAGCTTAACCCATTTTCTTTATTTATGTGTTGAATAGAACAGCTTGTTCATTTAACAATTCAAATCACAGAGAGCCGCATAAACCTAAAAAGATAGTTCGGCTATCACAGCTATAGCCAACTAAATTCTTTAAAAAGAAACTATGAAAAAATTGGTCATAAGGATTTAACGTTAAATTTTCAACGCAAAAGTGGTATTTACAAATCTCATAACAGTTGAGAAAATAAGTAATAGAAAGCGCAGAACCATCTTGAATGTGGTGATCAAGATAAACCAAGTTTATAATTTCTTCCTACTTTTTGCAGTGTGGACCAGAGTCTGTTTGGGGTGGCTGCAACTTTTTAAAAAGGTAGTTCTAAAACTATGCAGAAGAAAAAAACTTGGAAAGCTGCAGTGGGAATTATAAACATATATTTTTCCAAAAAATTAGACGATAACTTTTTTATAGTCACTGCACTTTAATAATTTAGGTTTAAAAAAATAAATTCCCAACACAAATATTTCTAAAAAACAGCAAAAAAAATAATTTCTCAAACAAAACTGTAGTGGCAGTTTGAAACACAAAATAGACAAAAAGCTATTCCAGATAGATCAAAAATCTACATTATAATCCCATGATTGCTCTAGTGAATGTTAAGAAACAAACTCAAAGAAGCTAGGCATAAAATTATAAAAATAAACAAAGAGAAAGAGAGAGAGAGAGAGTCACATGCCATACCTGCTAGGAGTTCCGCTTGCAATGTTCACTCGGCTCCTTAGCAATTCAATCTATGATGAAACAAAATTGAAAAGGATATTGTGAGATTTTATAATAAAAGAACATGGATAAAAATTACAAATGAAACGATACAAATCATAATAGAAAGGAATAATTACATACATAGAACTTGAAACATTGACATTTACAAAACTAGCACCTAGGTGATTTTTTTAAACTACCTAACGGATGCATTTATGTGTGCCATGATCAAACTAATGGAAATTTGATAAACATGAAAAACATGGTGATAACGGAGGAAAAAGACTCAAACCATCATGAAAAACCACAATTATTACTACTGAATTCATATGTATACAAACGACTCTTGCAACATGAAATAACGACAACAAACAATAACACAAGCATAAAGACACGCGCATAGACTCCAATAAGGGTGAGTAGCAGGTGGGAATGTTGGCAGCAGCAGGGAGAGGGAACTAGCGATACTGAGGGAAATAGGGCAAGGGACAACTGACTGTAAAGAAGGGGGACTAGCAAGTAGATGACTGCTGGAAGGCATAGGGGTCGACTAGCGGGATGCTAGAGGTGAGTTGGAGGGCAACAGAAAACGAGCAGCCTGTGGGAAGGTGTGGAGAAGGGCTGACAGCCTACTGCAGGTGGTTGGAGGGAGAGCAGCAAGCTGGCGACTGCTGGACTGCATGCGGAAAGATAAATGTCTTGTCGAGGTCCAGCTACAGCCGGAGCACCACCCGGACCCTTGGAGATGGTCACCACCTCAGACTAGTTACAGCCGGAGCACTTTCTCATCCTCAGATACAGCCCCCTGAGAGGAAGAGCACCTCAAAGTTAGTAGTAGAAATCAACAATCATCCAAAAACCTCCACCTCTAACCTCAGAAAACAACACATATATAAAGAGAGGATTGGTAAATAAAATAAGTAAAGAGTAAGATAGGACAGATATATAAAAAGCAAGAAGAGGAATAGGAAAGAAGTAGAGAAGGAATGAAATTATAAAGGGAAGGCATCAGCGAAGAAAAGGAAAGGAAAGAAATTAAATAGAAAAAGGGGACTACAGTTACTGTATCAGATACAGTAACACGTCCGCAGTACTATAGCTGCTATAGTACGCGGGCGGTAAGCTCCCGTGCCATAAAAAACTTTAGGGAGTCTTTTGATATTGTAGTAAAAATTTTAAAAATGAATGAAAGACTCTGCTTCAAAGGAGTTTCTTTTTAAGTCATTCTTGCCCTAAAACATGCTTTAACACTTTGCCTTGAAGAAACTTTAGGGTTCATGTGAACATACATAATATTGAGCATTCCACATAAGGAGTATGAGAGGCAAAAGTTTAAAAATTCTAAGTAACAAACTACACAGGGAAGAACTGATCAAATTATTTAAGGTATAAGATTAGCAATATTTTTCCCTAGTTGTTTAGCATCCATTCAATCTCCCAATAGTATTAATGCTTCCTTAGTTTCCAGACTGCTCTGTTACCAATCAAACCATCTAAATTACTCTCAACTAATCATATTTAGAAATCTCTAACAAATGGATTTGGATGATTTGAATTAGAGACCTAAAATTAACAAGTTTGCCAGTATATCCTATTATATATCATGATCTCTAATATATTATACCAAAACCAAGCTTGATAAATATAAAGGCCATTCAAACCTAGCCCACACAAAAGAATATGCATACATTATATATCATGATATCAAAATAATATAGATAAGATTATATTAAACCGAATTTCATTAAACAAAATAATCAAATATTGTTAATCTATATGTACTCTAAAACCTGATCAACATACTGAATGAGCCAAGCTGAGAATTATGTTTTTAGTTTGCTCCCAAAAATTTCAATTTTTCCTGACCAGTTCATCAAGTCTTTCATTGATTATTTCTAGTCCGTAAAAATCGTATAAAATTGAAATCTATAGAGTAATAGGCAAACCTGCTCTTCCACTTTCATGTGCTTTGCAAAAAGCTTTGCGGGTCGGCAATTTTTGGTATATACTTTCAAACCTCTATATAAAATCATCAAAAATGAGTTAATAAACATAAGAATAGTTGTAAAGTTAGCAATACATGTTAATCGAATTGCTAGAACTACAGGCAAGCATAAGAGGAATATTAGTATGTTGAGGCTTGAATTCATAATCTAATACTACTAATATCTATGATTTTCATACTACAAGCATGCTACTATCTATTCAATCTACATATTATACTTTGTGAGCTAATTTAGTATTTTTGCATTGTATTTTTAAAAATTGTTTAGCATTAGTGTTAGTTTTATACTAGTAATGAGAACAGTGTTAAAATGGATTGTTGACTTGAGTGAGCCATTTTAGTCTCAATAACTAAGAAAGTAATGGGAGCTAAAATAGTCCTCTATGGGGCGGGGTCTGTTTTAGCCTATATTTTAAAAGAGTCTAAAGACTCTTTTGACATTTTTATGGACTCCAGGACTAAAATGACCCCATTTAAATTGTCAAAGGACTATTTTTAACACATTACTAGTAATGCCGAGTGAAACAATAAACAAGAGCATAACTAGTTTGTTAAGCTAAGCTCACCAAAAATTTTCTTCTTGTACGGACACAAACAAATTTTGAATGCCCAATTTGTACAATGAGTGATACCGGAGTTAACTCAAGCTAAAATAGGAAAAATAAATTCTAACCAGACACACTTGAAAGGAAAATTACAACAAACACGACACAACGTTATGCTAAAATACAAAATAACAACAAATGATAACACAAACTCAAATTAGGGTGGATCTTGAGGTAGTGGTGGTGATCGGCGATGGGTTAGAAGGTGGCAAGATGGTGGACGAACTGGTTGGCCAACGTAAAACCGCAAGGAAGCGATTTTCTGGGTTTTAAACAACAGACAAGCAATGAATAATGACGTGGAACATCTATTCTAGATGATGGCAGCAAGCGAAGAGGTGGGACGCAAATTCTGGAAGTGGTGGCGCGTGAGAAGGTAAGGAGCGATGGTTGGGGAGGCCGGAAAAGGCAGGGACAACGGTAAGGTTGCAGAGGGGACGGTCTTGGTGGTTGGAGTTGTAGGAAAATAGCCAGTAGGACGGGAAATGATGGCTGGATTGGGTCTGGATGGCAAGGGACAACGATAAAAACAATAACTGCAGTGTTTTCTGGGGAGAACTACAAGGGGACGGTGAACTGAATAAAAAGAATCAGAGTAGGAAGGTGAGGGTAGGGTAGAAGAGGATAAATACAACCTCGAAAGTGAGATACTGTTGGAGCACTGCTCGATCCTTGGAAGAGAATCATCATCTTGAAACGAGGAACAACCAGAGTACCACTGACTCTTGGATATAATCCTAGAAGAGAGAAACTGGAACCTCAACGACAGTCCTTAATAGAAACACAAAAAAAAATCCCTTTCAAACCCTGCAACACAGAAATAAGAAAGGATTAGAAATGAATGAAAGATTAAATGAAAAATTGGAAAGAAATTAGAAGGGGGGTCGCTCGGTTCGATCGTTCGTGCGACCCACCTCTCACTTTCTGAAAAGAGAAATTGGTGCGCATGACGCAACCCCGCCTCTTTTTTGGACCTCCCACGTCCATGCGGGAGAGATGGTTGTGTCAGTCTCTTGGAGATGGTGACCTCATCAGTTGAAGCTCTCGTTTCCTCGTGATATGGCTTCAGGTCGGCAACGTTAAAGATAGCGAAAATGTCGTAATTTCTCGGTAAGTCAATCATGTATGAGTTATCATTCCAAAGCACATCTTGATAGAATAATTATTCATCATCTTTTGGCACATCTTCAGATGGAGTTGTATATTAATGTAGATTTTCATAAAGTAATTCTCAAGCTATTAGATCTGTACTTTACTTCTTCCACTCTTCATATTGGATCGAACGTATCTGATAAATAAGTACGCAAGGAGGAATCAACTCTAAGACAAAATCTATGGCAAGTTGGGTCATACTAAAATGTAACGACTCAAGATAGATCTATTCTTCTTCTCTGAAAGGACCTGAATCCTATTGTAGAATATTTATTCCTACAAAGCACTTCAGGCGATTTCCAATATTGTGGTTCATCTATCTTGCCCGATCAGTTGTCGGTAGATATACTGCTGAACTAAATTTAATACCCTAACGACTCTCTATTGGCTTCTAGAAGTGGCGTAATAGATTCTTATATAGGGCATACTAGACCTCCCTCAACAGTGGCAACTTAAGTAGCCTATATATTTGAGAAATATGATCTTCTCTTATTTGGGATTGTCATGTGTCTGATATCAACTCCTCAAATTAATGGCATTCTTGGATATCCAATGTGAGTCCTACTGATGCGCCTCTCAATATCTATAAAATGGCAGCTCGAGGCATTACAATCTCATACTCTGCATGAACTTCCATTACCTTATACTCACTGCCTTCTAGAAACAGCTAATATTAACTCAATTGGAGTCTCTCTCCTGTATTCCACTGACGTCACTTCCTCATCGATTGTAAGTTGTGAATCCTCTCTGAAATCTTCATCTTCTTCTGGATCACTATTTATTTCTTCAATTGGTAATTGATCTGTGATAGGATCATTCTCCTGAATGTGCAATTTGATTCAGTATGCCCAAATCTATGACAATTGAAACCCTTCTGGGATGAAAGGGTTGAGACAAATTTGAGAATACATATTAGTTAGACCTGTTCTCCACTTTGACCAAGTGCCTCCTCAGGCAGGGTCGGCTTGGATGTTCTCCTGAGTATACTATTTTTGTAAAATTATGGATTGGACCCTGCTTATAAGATATGGCGGTCATCCAGTAATATTCTCTCCACTTTTGAAATTAGGATTTGCACATCCTGTCTGTAATGAACTGGAGGATATTGGTGTTATATCTCCCATTTCATCTACGACAAAGTAACAATCTCATTTTTTCCTTCATGTTGGCGTAGGTGCTTTAAATTTTACCATCAAAACAATGTACACTTCTTTAATTTGTTGTCGGCTAGTTCACCATTTCGTCATCTAGTTTCACTATTTTGTCCACTGGTTTCACCATTTCGTCCAATGGACGTCCTGGAACCCAAATAAAAGTTTCACAGTCTAGAGTCACTCGATGAACTTGTCTGAATCAAAGTGATCGTTAAAACATGAAAAATTTATCTTTACATCAAAATCTCAAAATCTTAGATATTTCAGATCAAATCTTTGAAATAGAAGTTCTTCATCTTTGAAATCTTTAACAGACATTCATCTCTCGACTTTTTTTGATATTGTATCCCAAAGCATTGTGGTTTGTTTTCTTTTCCATTGGAATCATCCCTATGAAAGGAATTTAGGTATTCCTTCTTCTCTCCTCTTTAGATCTCGTTACCATGCTTGTAGGTAACCTCTCTCTGGATCCTTAATTTCATCGAGCCTTTGTAGTACTCAATGGACTTGTCGTTGTATCTCTTCCATGGCAAACTCCTGATCAGCTTCTAACAATCGTCTCTGGTATGATTCGATTTGGGTGTAGGCAGGGGTGAAATTGGTGCGAGAATGGTGTAGGGAAGGAAAGAAATTTTTTTTAGAGTGGAGATAAGATTGGGTATTTTTACCCTAGGATATGAATAGGGTTATGCTAGCTCTTAAACTAAATGATATCAAAATCAACCCAAACCATAATAGAAAAAGCAATTAGGTGGTTACAACCAGATACATTTGAAAGGGAAATTATAACAAACATGATACAATGATATGTTAACATAGGAAATAACAACAAATGATAACACACTCAAACTAGGGTGGATCTCAGGGTGATGGTGGGGTGGCCAGATGGTGAACGAGCTGGTTGGCGAACGAAAAACAACAAGGTAATTGTTTCTCGAGCATTGGACAACAAATAATCATTGAATAATGACTTGGAACCGCTGTTTTGGATGATGGCAGCAAGTGGGAAGGATGTATGACATAGGTTCTAGAGGCGGCAAAGCATGAGAAGGTAAGGAGCGGTGGGCGAGGAGGCTGGGAAAGGCAGGGACAGCGGCATGGTTGTGGAAGGGGCGGTTCTGGTGGCTACAATAGCAAGAAAACAACATATAGGGAGGGAGAGGATGGTTGGACTGGATCTAGATAGCAAAAACAACAGTAAAAACAGAGGCTTTTCTGGGGTCCACAGCAAAGGGACAATGAACTGGATGAAGGGGAATCAATGTAGAAAGGCGAGTGGCATGGTAGAAGAGGATAAATACCACATCAGGTTCAAGGTACAAAAAGAAGCACAACTCGCCTTTGGATATATCCATAGAAGAAAGAAACTGAAATGTCGACGACTATCTTAAACAGAAAAAAAATCCTTCTAAACCTTAATACAACACATATATGTAGGAAAAGACTTAAAAGTAAGAAATGATTAAAGGAAACACGGTGAAAATTGGAAAGAAATCTGAGGGGAAACTGCTCAGTTCGACTCAGGGTCGTTCGCACGACCTACCTCTGGCATTTGAGTCGCGGGAGTATCACACGTGAGACGTCATTCCGCCTCTGCTTTGAACCTCCGACATCAATGAGGGAGTGACGCCCGCGTTAATAAGTTTCTTCATGTTATTAAGACCTTCCAAAATTCCTCAAGCATCTTATTTCTCTTGATATTGTCATGCTCTTCCAAAATCCTTCAATCATTGACTCATAGAATATCAATTTACACTTTAACCTAGCACCTATATTCATTTTCAGCATATCAGGCATATCGCATATTAAATTGGATATTATTCATGCTTAAAGTCTCATAAAACTCTTTTATATACAACCAAATCATCTTTTAGCGATTCTTTTCATTTAAATTTACATGAGATTGTAGCATAGGAGAATTTATTGTTTGGAACTTAATCTATATTTGGTGAGTTATTTATATTAGTATTAGAACATAGTGTATTAATTTCCTTGTTACATAAAAGGGGGCTCTCCATTCCTTATCACACCTCATCTCCTCCTACCACACTTCTATCAATTGTCTTACCATCTAAAACACAATGTATACTCCTTCCTTAAAGGTTCATGCTCGTAAACCAAAATTCTCCTACTAAGACACCTCCCTTCATCTAGTCAAGTACAACTGAAAATCCACTTGAACCCAGGCTTTCGTATTTATATCTTATCATTACTTTATGTAAGCGCATATGCGTTTGACTACTCAGTTCACTCTTTTATGTCCTTTTATCATTTATCACCTCCCCTTTGTCAATGCAGTTCGTCTATTTTGTCTATATTCTCAAAAAGTATCAAGAGGTCCTATTCAATCGTAAGCGAAACTAAATAATAGATGCTGAACGGGTGCACTTGTTGATTGTCAAGCAACATAATTTTCTAGGAACCCATTACATGTTACTTAATCTTCAATATTAAGTCCCATATTGATGGTTCAATTGAACACAGCAAGGTGTTATTGGTAGCAAAATAATATACCCAAAATTATGACATCAATTACTCAAATTGATTTATCTCTGAGTTGCTTTACTTCACTTGCTCTTTTTATCATTTCCACCATTAAGTAAAGATGAAATATGTTCAAATTGTACTTCAATTATGCTATTCTCAATGGGAATCTCATTGAAAGATCTTTGTATGGAGTAAATAATTTGCTCAAAGTTAAAAGCCATCGTTAGGTTGAAACAAAGCCTTTATCATTGATTTAACTGCTATAAGATTCTCATTCCAATGGACTATATAGTATTGCTATTAATCATTCTATCTTTATTCAACAATCTTCCCCTAACATAATAGTTCGTGTTGTGTATATTGATGAAATTCTTCTCAGGGAAAATAATGATTAAAAATTACTGAAATTAAGCAATATCTTCAAAAAACATTTTTTTATCAAAGATTTAGGAAATGAGCCTTTTTGGAAGCAAGACTATCAATTCTAACATGGATACTCTACAAACATTCCATGAGAAAATCTTTAAAAATGCTTCTTGCTATCAAAATCAGATTGTTAAACCTATAGATCAAATAATCACAATGCCTGGAAAACAATTATAGAGAGCACATGCAAAATTCACAAAACAAGCATCAGAAGACTGTCCAAAAAATTTTGAGATATGCCAAGAAATCAACAGAAAAAAAGTATTACTCTCATCATAAAAACAAGTATCTAATAGTTGAAGCCTTCATAGATGTTCATTAAGCTCCATCAATTGAAAATAAGAAGCCAACATCTTAGTGTTATATCTTTGTTGTTTGAAATCTTATGACCTAAAGTAAAAAGCAATTAGTTATGACTAAATCTAATGCTAAGGAAATATTGGGTCGTCGCTCACTCAATAAATGAGATCATACATATCAGAACTCTTATTGGGGGTTTAATTTCCTATTACCTAGCATATGAGTTTTAACTATGACAATCAAGCTGTTTCTAGAAATTCAAACTTCCATGAAAGGATTAAAGATTTTAAAAGTTGGTTGTCACTTTGTCGGGTATGTTTTTATAATGAAGAAGATCATCACCATTTATGTTCCAGTGAAAAATAATTGGTTGATATCATTACTAAGACACTTGGACATCACTTCTTTAAAATTTATGCAATAAGTTAGATCTAAATGACATGCTCGAATTGGAGGAGTATTAGCATACAAAAATATTATTCTTCATCAAAAAAGTTATAAATCTTTAGACAAAGTATATGGTGATGAAATTAATTCTAGTGCATTGAAAGTATGTACATAACCTTGTCCACTATTCCTCAAATGGGAATTAAAATATACCATAAGCACCTTATTTATGATAAAAAGCTAAATTATAAATCCATAGATATTGTGATATTGCATACATAATATTCCATCTAATATAATAAAATTACTTAAATTTTCAGAATAGATAGATCAAATAGAAACTTATTCTCCACTACAATATTGAATTATGTTGCAGAAATTATTTTCGACTTTATAAGAAAATTAAAACACTTAATGCCATTGTAAAATATTTCATTAGATTAAACTCAGAACAAAATGTTTTCATATACTTTTAAAAGTTATAAAGGAAACATGCTCTTAATGCAAAACTTCCAATAAGAACATATAGAGTTCTATCACCTGAGAAGTTCCAATGAGCTTAAAGCAGAGACACTGATAATAAGCACTGCTGGACTTCCAGGTTCAATAGTTCCTTCGAAAAGATTTCCATCACAAAGAACTTCCTTCCATGATTCTCCGAAAGCATCCTTAATATGTTTATTTATATTTTCTGCATCTTGATTGGCATCCTTAGAGAGTTCAACCATGCATGTATCTGCATATTTCAAATCACACCTTAAACATTTGCATATGTTCATAAAAACATTACATACCACTCAATTCTCATGAATTTACATTTCTAACACTTAAATCTTACTTTTTTTTTTTACATTTATGCCACACAAATCTTTTATATAACATTAAAAATGCCACCATTTTAACTTCTAAAGAATGAAATACATCTTTTCATGCATAGCTAAGGTGTTAAGTATGTAAAAATTGAAGTTTAGGTGTTAGATATGTAAATACATAGGATCTGATTGGTGCATATGTAAATCTTCCAGCAGTTTATACAATCAAAATTAATGGCTATTCAATTCAATTCCTTCTGACACGCTACCATATTGAAAATGCATCAAATTACATGTACTTAAAAGCTGAAGATTTTGAATTAGCCCGCAACTTTTTTTGAGTAAGCAAAATCTAAGCAAACACAGTTGCTAAAATCATAAATGGTGCAAATATATATCACTTGATATGCTTAGCTGTTCCAACGGTCTCTATGATCTTTAAAAAAACAAAAAATAATAATAAAGATTAACAACATTAGAATTTGAAAATCACCCAGATGTTACAGCATGGCAAGGCATGTTATCAAAATGAAGAAGTGCTTGCAGTTCATTAGTTGCCATTAAAATTAAGAGTATAGTAATGTTATAATTCAATTTTAAAAAGGATTCGTGATTTTCTTCCATATGTAATGGATAAAATGAAAGTCAATTTTATTTGAAAGAAGAAAAAAAATTACATGAATACATGATTTCAAGGACATTATCCTTGAATAAAAATAGACAAGGCAAATCATTTATGGAATTTATTAAGCGTGCATTTGTTTGAGCTTTTAAACCCATCTTTTCCTCCAAACTGCATTTCTCATTTGTTTGGTTCGTACGTTTCATCAATTAGGTTCATAACAGAGCTTTTGAATTACCGTAGAATCGCGAGCTTTTAAACCCATCTCGGTCTATTTTGCACTATATTATATTTAATTGGAGTTGCTCATAACATCTCTCTTATAAAATCATCTTCTAACTCTTCTTCTTTTTTTCTAATTTTTCCATACATCCATCCTAACGTTGTCATTTTGACTAGAATCAGCATGACTATCATAACCCACATATCAAATTATAACTTCAAAAATGTTTTCCTTTTACAAATCCATAAACTTTCATGTCATATGGCACTCCTCAAGCACTTACCCATTTTCATATCAAGCTTTATATATAAAAGTTATACAATTATATAAACACATATTTTTTTTATAATATCTTTAGGTAGTTAAATGTCTAACCGCAAATACACATCTACTAACAATACACATTATCTTATAATCTTTGCGCTACTAGTCCAAAGCTCCTTATATTTAATAAAACCATCAATCAAACTTTTTACAACTGCTATATGTGAAATATCATCGATCAAAATTGCCATTTGCAACTAAAATGCACTAAGATACCTCACAATAAATACCTTTTATAAGAATCTCCATGTCAACAAAAAAATGGTAGCATTTATTATTAATTCTAAAAGTTATCACACTGAAATGAACAGCTATTTGATTATTCCACAATTGCATCTAATGTTGATCAATTGCTCCATGACATATAACTTGCATTAACTTCACATATGGTTGATGCTCAACTTTTCTACTAAGTAATCCTATAATAAAATCAGGAATCATATTACTCAATACATGCATTTCCATAAACAATCAAATCCATATAAATACCCTATCATTGTTATAAAAAAAAAATCCACTAACTGCCTTATGATGAAGATCAACACATTAAAAAAAATTACTAACATAGACAAATTGAATCTTTAGAATCAATAAGTATTTTCTAATATTGACAGATATTTATCAATTTCGCATCTACTAAAATAATATATCATATTCTCAATCTTTGTGCTGCTACTATGAAGCTCCTTCTCTTTAAAAGAAACCATCAATCTAACTTTTCACCTGCTATAGGAGAAATATCATCTATCAAAACTATCATTTGCAAATAGTATACACTAAGATACCTCACAATGAATATCTTCTATAATAATCTCCATGTCAATATGAAATACCTCACAATGAATTTCTTCTATAATAATCTCCATGTCAATATGAAATGATACCATTTATTATTTATCCAAGAGTAATCAAAGTGAAATTGAAAGCTATTTGATTACTCCGCGACTACATAAAATGCTAATCATTGCTCCATGACAATATAACATATGTAATTTCAACATACCTTTGATATTCAACATTTCTACTAAAAAATCCTATATAAAAATGAAGTATCTATCAAAAAATTTTCCCCTTACTACCTTATAATAAAAGTCAGCACATTAAAAATATTACTAGCATAAACCCAAATTGAATCTTTGATACATACCGGTAAGATTTTGCTAAGTAAATAGTCTATTGTATACGCCCGCAATGTCAATGTACAACTTAATTTTGATTACCCAATAATTATTCCATAGAATCTCCATTGCTTCTAAATATTGATACTAAAATGTCTCCTCCAATCATTTATCATCTTTTAGATTTATTTCATTACAAAAATTTACTAATCAAACTTTCCAAAAATATCTTTTATAACTCTAGAAATCTAAATAGTTATCTCATCCTAACCTTAAGGTAACTCAGGTACAATATCCTGGATAAGTTTCTAGTAATCTTCATCATTATGTTCATTTTAGTCTTATAATATAAAAATCTCCCTAAGAATTGTAATTTAACAATCTATGCACTTCTCATATCTAAATACTTACAACAAAAAAAATCAAGTTCAGCATAAGCTATCAAAATTTTATCCAAAAATCACCTTCGTAATCTGTTTACAGAAACTTAAAATAAACTACCAATGGGTAAACCATGTTGTTTCCACCAACAATAGTAAAATGGAAATAAATAGAATGCTAGCAGAGATTTCTCCTCGCACTGTAAGTTACCACAATACCATATCTTAGAGAGAACTCCAACCCTCTTACTCTCTTCACTAGTCACAGCATGGCTCATCTTGACCTCTGGAAATTATGCTTAAACGAGACAACAAATTCCAAACAACTCCGATTATCCAAATCCCAAAATGCAAAATTTAATCTATTCTTAAAAATCTTCTGAACATAAGAAACAACGCATAAATAAATAAAGAAACTATACCTCTGTACGCCTCCAACTCCAATGGCGATAGTTTGGATTTATTTGCTGACTGGAAGCGATCCAAGAAGAAATCAAGTTGCTGCGCGGCTGGAAGTGATGAGAGAAGCACAGTTTCAACCTTTGAATTTACTATCTCCTTCTTCGTCGTCCTCACCTCCTCCTTATCCTTACCCTTCTCCTTGATGTCGTCAATGAACTTGTTCTTCCCAAGAGGTACGAAGTTAGCGTTTTTACGATTAAACTTCTTACTCTTGTTTCTGCTGATAGCAGATCGTGCCTTCAGAGGATGGTTGCCCTTCAGCTTCTTTCGCTTAGGAGATTTTGGCTTATCGATCGCCATTATTTTTCCTCGCTCGAATTTTGATAGTATTTATAGCGTTTGCTCAAATTTTAAAGAACTTGTGACCAAGGCTTGGGGTTTAGTTTTAAGATTTAGGATTTAGGGTTTAGAATTTAATGGATAAAATATTAGATTTAGGGTTTAGGGTCTAGACACTCAATATTACATGCTGAGATGGGGCCCAATCATGCCGAACTAGCACTCGACAGTTGCCAAACGACTTGACGTAATATTTTCTCATATAGTAGGACCCTGTTTAACAGGTTTATGTATTGAGTTTATTAAATCTAGCCAAACATTAAATCAAACGAGTTCTATGAATTTATAAAATTTCAGATTTAAGATCTGAATTTAGCATTCGATTCATGTAAACTTTGATTCATGTAAAATTTGTATTTAATAAATCAGACAAAATTGTTGATTTATTGAATCCTAATTTACTAAATCCCGCTAAGTCTAAATTCTGAGCAAACTCATTACATGACCATAAGAGGTTGAGGCATGTTCGAATGAGTATCTAAATATGCATGAAGACCCATTAATTATAATTTATGAATTTTCAATAAAATTAAATTTCACTTATCATAATATTTAATAATTAGAATTTGTTTGTAATTATTTTTAGATTTTTGTTTTTTATTTTAAAAATATATATGTTTAGTTTAGTTTTTACCTTCTTTTATTCTTCATTTTAAATAATAAATTAGGTTATTTCTAAAAGTATGTTGAGTTTTTTCAAAAATAATTTATTTCAAATAAAAATACAAGTAAAATAAAACTATAATAAATTAATTATTATGTTTTTACTTAATATTAATTATATATTTATTAGTATTGACCCATTTAAGAATTATCAGTGTAATTAAATTTTCTTTTAATATACCCAATTCTATTGCATTTAAATATCTAACAACTAACCTTTATTTTTTTACATTAATATTTCATAAATTTTTCACATCACATAAAAAATACCATCATCTTAATTTAAAAAAATAAGTAAAATTTCACTCTTCAAGCACAGCTAAAGTGGCATATAATGTTGTCAAAGCGGCTCGTTGTTCGCGAACAGTTCGTGTTCGGCTCGTTAAGAAGCTTGTGCTCAAATCGTTTGCTAAGTTAACGAGCCGAGCACGAATAATTTTTTTTAAGGTTGATATATAATGAGTGAATAAAGATTTGTTCATTCATGTTCAACTCATTTTAGCTAAAAATAATTAAATTGATGAGTGGTATTTTTAAAAAATTTAATTGACTTCAAAACTACAAAGATTTATAATAAATTAAAATTATTACTTTAAAAATAAAATAAAAACATATTAAATTATATTTAAATAATATTTAAATATAAATAATAAGATTTAAATATTTGCATCAACCCTTAACATCCTATGATTATGTGACTAGAGTTGCCAAGATGATTATTTGTTCACAATTGCTCGTTTTTGTCTCGCCAAGCAACCGAACACGAACACATTTTTTTTTTTTGAAATATAAACGAGCCAAACATGAACAGTGGATTTTTTAATGAGTCGAACGCGAGCTAAGCCTGAACTCTCTTGTGTTTAACTCGTTTACACCCCTAGTGGCCATATACAAAAAATTGAAGTTTTGGTGTGAGATATAATACACGGAAATAGACTCCTATTTAGGGGTGTAAACGAGCCGAACACGAGCGAGCCCAAGCTTAGATCGTGTTCGTCTCCTTTATATTTTGAGCTCAAAAAGTGTGTTCATTTTTGGCTCGTTTTCTTAGCGCGTCGTTCACGAACAAAAAGTCGTTTTGACAACTCTAATCACGTAGTCATAAGATGTTAATGATTGAGGCATGATTTAAAACTGATTTAAAACATCATTTTAAAACATCATTTAAAACTAATTTAATATTTTTTATTCTATTTTCTTAATTAATACTTTTAATTGATTATAAATCTTTGCAGTCAATTATTTTTTAAAAAATACTACTCATCATTATATATATATATATATATAAATTAAAGAACAACTCGTGCCTCCTTACACGTTAATATTAAAAGAGATCACAAAATAGAGTTGGGATAGTGGATCTCCATCTAAAAAAAATATTTCATGATCCTAGGGGTTTCATCATTCATATTACAACTCCACGCAAAAAAGTCAAAATAACATGTGTATTTAACTAAAAGTATATTAAAATAAAAAGAATACCCAAAAACTACATGTATACCAAAATCAATTTCAACATTGAAGAAGTAGAGCAAAAGCAGAGTTGTGGCTACTTTGTCCATTGAGATCAGCAACAAAAAAGATCAAACCCTACAAACAGCAATGTATTTCTTGGGCAGAACAAAGTGGGGCTGCAGCAAGCAAAGCTCAACAACCAGTGAAAGCAATGTAAGCGAAGATAACACTGTGTATAAATCAAAAGTAAATAAGTCAGCAGAATCATCTCAAGATCAATCTCCCATTACTCAGTAAAGCAATAGAAGCAGAAAGGGATATTGTCAAAATTCCAGTAATCCAGAATGGCCTCGATTAGGTCCGCCGGTAACACCCAAAGTAGCCATAATAATATATAGTACAAATTCAAGGCAACCAAAAATGTAACAGAGTATGCCAATAAAACATTTTAACATATAGTCAAGCATACACAAAGTATGCCAAAAAATATTCCCCACAAAGGACAAATCCAGACAGAAAAGGCCCAAATCAACAAAAGGAATCCGGAAGAAGTAACAATATTAACATAAGAAATATAAGAACAACATCACCCAAAATCAGCTGTCCAGAGGATAAATTGAAGCTAAGAAAAACCAAAAATAGGTCAGTACCCTGCAAACACAGTCCGGACCGACACAGGCAACCATCATCCATCTAAAAGGCAAAGAAAATCATCCTTCCAACTAACCAAAGTCTGCCACAATAATCTCAAAACAGAAAACCAAAAATCGAGTGACGGGGAAAAAAAAGTAAGACAAAGTATGAGGTTTCCTTATCAACTCCCAAAAATCCAGGCCAAACAAGAGATCCAAGAATTCATTTAAGACCAATATCCAGGTAAGACAGGCTTGTGCAAAACAGTCTTCCAGCATCCATCCAAATAAATATAGACATAGAAAAACTGCAACCCTGAAAAACCAATCCAGCAGTCCAAAGAAAAAACTGCCACATTAAGCCCAATACAGAGACCAAAGACAAAGTAAAGTGAAGCATAATTAAATTCTAATATAAGGAGCTTCTGATAAGTCTCTTTGAATAAGAGTGTAGCATAGGAGGGGTAGTAACCCCAACAAAAGCACTGTGCACTTTCTATTTTGTCATCCAATCCGCATATTGGTTCCCTTCTCTATAAGTAAATGAGTAAAGAATATTAATGTGTTGCATATCAATATAATGTCAAATCCTTCTCATTAGTGAAATAATGTACCAAGCAGGTTTAACGTTAGCCATTAGCATGTTAAACAAAGTTTCAGAGGTGCAGCAAGCACTGCGTTAGTCTCTGCCTTCAGAGAAGAAATAGCTATACAAGGGGAGGCAAAATAAGCAATATATTTACCACGATGATCTTTAATCAACCCTCTCATACCCGTATAAGCAGTAAAATAACTCCCATATGTATTAACTTTAAGTCAGCCATGGGGGGTAATGCCCATTTGATAAAAATGGGTTTCCTATCCCTACCCATAATAGAAGCCTGACCATTAGTTAACTTCCAAGCTTTGTGAAAATGAGCCACTGCTAAAATAGATATGGTGAAGGGAGTGCGACACAAAGTTTCATGTTTTTAACTATTCCTAGCCATCCAAATAATCCATAGGACAAAAACAGGGAAATAAAAGAGATTTTTGAAAGAAGGATCAAAATCCTTTAAAATCCCCATGACAGATTTCAGTGTCAAGTGCAAGGGCCAAGTGATACCAAAGGAGCACCCAATACGTTGTCAATCCTCTCTAGCAAAGGGGCAATCAAAAAACAAATGGTCAATTGATTCAACATTCTTTTTGCAATTATAACAAAAAGAGGCAAGTTTCAACCCTTTTAGCTTAAGGATATCATCAAGAGGTAGAAGTTTATAAAAATATCTCCAAAGAAAAAAGGATATGGAAGGAGAAATATATTTATGCCAGGTGTAAACATGTCATTTCCAAGGAGTAAAAGAGTGCAGTTTAGAGTAGAGCATTTTAGTAACAGAGGATCTAGTTTGATACTTCAAGAGGGGAACATCCTTATTATGAGCTCGAATAGGGATAACAACAATAACAGGTGCTAATTCACCAACTAAAGAATTTAGCAGAGTTAAATTCCAAACACCATCTATCCAACAATCATAAACAAGCAGTTTAGAATCATAACCTGAGGTTTGCATAGTAGAAAAAGAAGAAGTACCTCATTCATCATCCCATAAAGAAATACCACTATCCTCAATGTCCCAAAAAATAAAACAAAGAGCAATATCACGTGCAAAGAAAATGGCATTCCAAAGCTTAGAGTCTGCCACTCTCCAATTAACCATATATGAATGTAAATTTTACAGTACTTATGACCCATAATGACCCCCCAAACGAAATTTGAACCAAAGTTTGCACATTTTAATATCAATAGTTTGCTGTAGAGTTTTAAACCCAAGCCCACCAGCACAAAGAGACTTGCAATTATACTGCCAATTAGTCCAACTCTTAGAAGATCTAGAGCCCTGCCAAAGAAATTTGTTGAAGATAATTTCGAGATTCTTTTGGGTGCTTTTCTTAGTTATGAGAACTTTTATAAAGCAGAGAGAAAGTGTACATAAGACACTTCTCAACAAAGTGAGCCTACCCCCATTAGAAAGAAATGAATTTTTCCAATCATTAATCTTGAGTTTAACTTTATCAATCACATCATCCATATAAGTTTGCTTAGTTTTGCTTCTAAGAATATTGACCCCAAGGTACTTAATAGGAAGCTTCAAAATTTTACAACCAGTGAAATGAGAAGCCCAAGCATGGGTGTTAGAGGAAACACCTTTTCCAAAATAAATGGAGCACTTAATCAAGTTAAACATCATACCAGATATGTTTTGGAAATCTTTTAACATAGACACGGTAGTTTTAGTGGCACTTTTGTTGGCATTTAAAAGAAATATAACATCATCAACATATGCAAGGTGACTCACCACAATTTTTTATTTATGTGAGAATTGAAAATGTGAATGCTCATATTGCAACTTATTTATGAGCCTAGATAGATGCAATAATGAAAATAGTAGGGGAGAGGGGATCTACTTGCTTAATGCCCTTGTTAGCTGAAAAGAAACCCTGAGTTTTACTATTTACCATCACACTATAGTTGTTATTAGAAAACCACTTCTGAATGAGAGAGCAGAACTTCTGTTTAAAGCCTTTAGCCTGCAAAATATTAATAATAAAGTACCAGCTAATAGTATCAACAACTTTCTTAATATCCAGTTTAAGGACCATGTTTCCCCCTGCACTTCTTGTCCAAATCTTCAATTATTTCCTTTGCTAAGAGAATATTATTAGTAATATCCCTACTTTTAATGAAAGCCAACTGCTGGTCAGCAATGATATAAGAAATGTAAGATTGCAGTCTGTTAACTATAATTTTACTCATAACATTAGATATCATAGTAGTAAGAGACGAAAATTGTCCCCAGAAATCTTATCATTACCTTTTGAAATGAGCACAATCAAAGCAGATGTAAAATATTTACCAGGGTTATCACCATAGAAGAAGTTTTGTATATATATATATATATATAATTAGTAGTATCTCGAGCCAAAACGAGTCGAACACGAAAGAGCCGAACACGAAAGAACAAATATTTGTTCGTGTTCGACTTAGTTGTTAACTTAGCTTACGAGCCGAACACAAGCTTCATAACGAATCAAACAAGAGCTATTTGCGAACCACCAGCCTTCTTGGCAGCCCTACTCCTATTGATATAAATCTTCCATTTTTGAGGCGCCCAAACCAAACCAAGGCTTTAAATTGAATTAGGGTTTCATTTTGACGAACAGTGTGTGCGGGAAGGAGGCGGCTGACGGTGCAAGAGGGTGAGAGGCATTCAGTACTAATCCGCCGGAATGGGTTAGGAATCTATCGGCCATTTCCTTGAAAACTTTTTAAATCCCTCTTCAAGGATCTGCTCTCATGGTGCCTTCTTCTTTCCACTCACAGGTATCTCCAGGGATTCCTTGCACAAGAGGCGAGCCACCGGCGGCAAGAAGAAGGCGTGGAGGAAGAAGAGAAAGTAAGCATTATATTAAAAACCAGTAATGGATTTCTAGATGTGCCTTTCAAGTGGATCTAGGGGCACTTATTTATTTTTGAATTTAAATCATACGAATCTATGATTCCTTTTACCGACGAGCATAATTTACTATAAGTCTTGCTCAAAGAATTGTTTTCTTCTTTGTTGCATCTAAATTGATGGAAGATACGAGCTGGGCCGACAACCGGCGAATACTAAGCTTTCTAGCAACAAAACGGTGAGGAGGGTTCGAGTTCGCGGAGGAAATGTGAAGTGGAGGGCTCTACGTTTGGATACAGGAAACTATTCTTGGGGAAGCGAGGCTGTGACCCGCAAGACCAGAATTCTCGATGTGGTATATAATGCTTCGAACAATGAGCTTGTGAGGACGCAGACTCTTGTGAAGAGTGCTATAGTGCAAGTTGATGCCGCCCCTTTCAAGCAATGGTACCTTCAGCACTATGGTGTTGAGCTTGGCAGGAAGAAGAAGAGCACTGCGGCATCTAAGAAGGATTCTTCCGAGGTAGCTTCTTCTTCCCACTGTTTTTCATGCTCTTTTGTTTTCGTCTGTTCTATTTTCCCACTTTAATTTTTACATTTATACTACTAAAATGTTTCTTATAACATTAAAGTTAACATCTTTTTAACTTTCAAATCGTGAAATATAACTTTAATGCACAGGTAAGGTAGCATGCATGTAAAAATTTATCTTTGTTCTTAGATATGTAAATACATAAGAATTGAGTGGTATGTATGTAAATCATCTTTTTTATTGCATAAATATGGTCCCATAAAAAATCTACATTTAAACTGAAGCCAAACCTAAGCCCTTCATGATGTGGACAATCAAGAAGAAGCTCATCTTGTTCTCCACAAATTCAGTTAGTCCTGATTTATAGCTTGAAATGTGGATTTCTTGGGGAATTGTAGTCATGGTTTTTTCTGCTTGTTATAGTTCCATTTACTCGGAATGGCTAACAATCTATTATGTTAAACTGTTTTGACTGGAGCTTCAAGATTATTTTGGTTTCATAAGAAATCCTTACATAGATCTAGATTTCCTAGTTTTATGCTTGTTCGTAATTTTTAATTATTTGTTATAAAAGGTTTGGGAAATTACACCAATAACACCTAAATATTATCTTTTTTCAAATTAAAACCAAAGCTCTTTTTTAAAAAATCAGACCATATATTTGTGTTTGACGATTTGATAAAAATGACAAATTTAGGCTAGGATGGGGAACGAATTGAAAATTATACCAACCTTACATGTTTTCAAAATGCAAAATGCAAAATGCAAAAAAAAAAAAAAAAAAAAAAAAAAAAGAGCAAAAACAAGAAACAAAATTGATGCCAAAATGACCCTTAGGATCACTTTTGTTTTTTGTTTCTATTTTCTGTGTATTGTTTTAAATTAAAATATATCTGATTGTGATAGTTGTTCAAAGTACTTTTTGAGATGTTTTGAGTATGTTTAAAAACAAGTAATTCAAAATAAAAATAAAAACATGTTAAAATTATAGTCATCAAACATATTTTTAAAAATAAAAGAAAAATTAAAAACAAAATAGAAAATAAAAATAATGTGAAACTCTGGGTAACATGATGTATTGATTAAGGGATAAGATTTTCAATTTCAAGCATATTTTGTATATATTATTTTAATTGTTAGTCTAATTTTGAAAATATTATTATGCATTCATATGGATTGTATTCTTAATAGTTTCTTTTAAATACAAGGAATTGCTTGCTTATCTAGCTTACAGTCTTATTGTTAGGTATGGTAGAAATACGTCAAATTTTTAATGGAATCAAGTCAAATGGGTTTCGGGGCTCACAAATCAAATTTTGTAGACCCAACATCTTATTTTACTATTAATATGTCATTGACAATCTTTTATCATCCGACATGGATCTCAAAGTGTGGTATGAATCTTGAGGTACTTTTTTTTAGCAAGGAACTTTTAAATTTCAATTAAAAAATCATCCAGAAATCTGATTTCGACAAAATTAAAGTCAAATTGACCAGCTTGACAAGACAAACACAATGACACAAAAGTTGATCCAATCCAACTCAAATTATGCCCGGATTCAGCCATTAAAGCACTTTTAGAAGCTTTCAGTGCCTAATTGAACGGTCAAATGGATTCCAAATATATCCTTTTAGTCAAATCAAGCGTATCGATAAAACAAATCCAACGAGCTTAAAACCACTCTATTATGATATTATTAAGACACTCAAATATCCAAAGAACACTATCTGATCTAACGAATTTCTCTAGACCATTTGATGGAGTGGTTTATATTTCTTCATTTTTTATAGGAAGGCTTTTTTATAGACTTTATAAATAAAGCTTTACTCTCTCTTGAGAGAGAATATAGACCTTGAACTAGTGCAAGACCGAAGCTTAAAGGAGAAAGAGCTGAAATCCAGTACGTCTCATTGAAGATCTAGCAAATGTCGCCCGCTCTTGCAGCTGCCGACCACCATCAACCATTGCTTGCCGATTGCGGTGGACCATCATCAGCCGCCAGCTACTTTTTGCTACAAAATCTCTTACAAAATTACAATGTGTTTTGCATAGTCCCGTAGTACACATTGTGAAACAATGAAGCACTTGATGAAATATTATGTCTTCACGAATACTGTGCATCAACACACATCGAAAACGGTGCACTGAAGTTTCAATAACTGCTCTAAGTTGCAATTACTACTGACCATTGTGTAGCAAACATTATATCTCGAGGAACTATGTAGTATTTTCTCGTTTATGGGATAAGGACATGTACGTGTACTCATTGATGCATAGTAGATTGTTTTCATTGGGCTAGACCTTGTATTTTGTTCCTTTTTCGGATTTTTCATGTAAAAAAATTTGTTTCTCAACTGGTCATTTTTATGATCTAAGTGTATGCTAGATTCTTGTGTAATGCCAAGACGATTGTTCGTTGGTCTGCTGCCACAAATTCTATAACACACATCAACATCCTTTGGATATAAAATCATTGCATGTGAATAATGTATCACTATGCAACATTACAGCGTATGTGAGCTTGCGCTCTCTTGTGAGGGCGTAACTATGTATTTTTATCCGTGCTGTTACACAATTGTGTACTCCCGTTCATAGTTCATGCAGCTCTGCGGACATTTTTGCATGTAATATTTTTTTTTGGATGTGTCATGTTTGGTAACAGGCAAGTGACAAACTCTTGACAAACCCATTAACACAACAATCACAACCACACAATGATAACCGAATGCATACATACCATATAATCTCCTGCTACTGTAATAAACTGAGTGAGGCAGTAGCTTATATATACAATCACTGTGCCCGATTCTAATATTGATAAAAACAGTTTCCTCACACATTCTGTTGCTTCCTCTTCTTTACAGCATTATTCCCTTTTTTTATGAAATCCTCCCTGGTTTCAAGCCCTGTTCACCTGGTGTCAAAACAGAATCCCACCGGACTCTACATGTAATTCAGCCACTGCACTCCACCCCGATCTCTATTTGGATCCTCAGCATGTCCCATAATACTCGGAACCTTTAGCTATTTTACATTTCAGTGTATGGGGTTCTTCCCCAACTTCCTCAAATCAAGGTTATCTCTATTATAGCTCTTTTATTTATAACTTTTCTCGCCTAGCTTGTTATTTCCCATACAAAATTAATTCTAAACAACAAATATAACCATTAATTTCATCACAATGGTAGAAAAACAATTCCTAACAAAACATAAAATCTTTTGCTCATATAATAGCGGTGAATACCCTCTAATTTTCCTCAATTCCTGTGGCATAATACACCAATATAACTATCCATACACACCAGAATAAAATGGTATTACCGAACACAAAAATTGACACATACTAGATATCTCAAGAGCCCCTCAAATTTACATCCCATATACAGAACCCCTTATGGTTAGATATTGTGTGTGCTGTAATATACCTCATCAATCATGTGTGCTGTAATATACCTCATCAATCACTTTTCCTCACCCAACGTGTGGCACAAATTCCCGTTTGAACTGTTGTACAACCGATGCCCATCCTACCCTCACCTTCAAATCCTAGGATGTTTGTGCTACCCCTGGTTAATATCTCTCTCACAAAACAAACTTAGCCAAAGATCCTTGCCATGCGGTTTATTCGGCTACACCTCCAACCACAAATGCTATGATAGCTTAAATCCTTTAACCGAACAAATCTATGTAGATAGGCATGTCAATTTCATAAATTAGTCTTCCCTCCAGCTCACTAAACATCTACCAATTTTCATATCGCAATCCAACATATTAACACCTATCCACTAACTCTAGTTCCCACCTCCATCCTCACAACAACTACAAACTCACAATCAACAAGGACACCACCACTCACCGAAGTAGCTCGCAACCACATCGATCTCTTGCCTGTAAACTAGGGTCATCAAATCAGGTTTGTCAGTTTGAGTCTGACCTGATATTGATCTACCTGAAAATATTGACCTAAATCTGACCAGAATATTAAACAAATCAAAAAGTCAACCTCACCTTCAACCCGCCGGCTCGAACCCAACAATCTGTTTAACATAAGGTCAATCTCATGTTGATTTCAAGCCCATTCAGGTTAAATTTGGGTTGGCGAATCAACCCAAACTCGACCAAAAAAATTGAATGGGTTAGGTTTCTTAACCCGAATCTCAAGTTGAAAACTCTTTTGATCAACCCAAATTTGGATTTTTCAAGATGAGTTTGGGACAAGTTGGCTGATTAGGTCAATTTTTTGGCACCCCTACTGAAAATAGCACAACTTCATCCTCACCATCAACAACAAGTCTTCCTCCTATCTCTCAATGCCATCCCATGATCACAAGGAGGCAAACTGGACATCATGAACAAACATATCCTCAATTTTACTCATCAAATTATCAACATTTTCGGTCTCACCTCCTACTGAACTGCATTGAAATAAATCACTGGAGAGAGGCAATGTCTAATAAATCAAAGCCCTTCTCTCACATGGTACCTGGACACTGGTGCCACCCTGCCCTCACCATCATGTATTGGGCTATAAATGTACACACAAAACTAAACTTTATGCAAACGAAACCATAGCCAGATACAAAGCCCACTTGGTCTCTCAAGCTTACCAATAACCATAAGGAATAGACAACCAAATTTCCAACCGTACGAGTATTGCTCACAATTGTTACTACCCGCAACTATACTATCAGAAAGCTAGATGTCTCCAATGCCTGCCCTCATGGCACCCTCTCAGGAACTGTCTTTTTGTCACAAACCCTGGGATTCAAAGATTCTCAATATCCAGTTTACACATGCCTTCTCAAAAGGCCATATTCAACCTCAGACAGTATTCGCCAGTGGTGCAACACCTCTTCTACAATAACTCTGGTTCTTATACCACACTAATACCACCCAAATATTCATGCTAATATACATCGATGACATACTTTTGATAGGTAATAACAACAACATCATACAACATCTGGTCTCACAGCTCCAACAACGTTTCCAGCTAAAGAACTTGGGACCCATCACAAACTTTCTCGGCCTCCAAGTCTCTCCAGAGCTAACAGCCTTCTTCTGCGCCAAACTATTTATGCTACAAATAATCTTGCTCCTGCAGGAATGACAACCTGCAAACCCCTTCAAAATCCCTCCACTCGCCACTATAAAGGATCAGTTAAAACCTCGTAGACCATACAAATCCCCAACTCGTCTGCCACCTCCTAAACTACACAAATCTTCAACTCTTCTGCCATCTAGTAATCACACTTTAATAACTCACCACCGCCTGCCTCAATATAGCTTTCTCAGCGAACCAAATTTGCGAGCATGTTCACCATCCCCTAAACATCCACTTCACCCAACTAAAATGCCTCTTTCCTTACATCAAAGGCTCCCTCTATGAAGGCCTATTCATCACTCCACCAATACCCCACTCCATACCTACTCTGAATCAGATTGAACTGGTGAAATCAATGGCAGGAAATCCACCTCAGGCTACTCTGTGCCCTACTGGTCCTCCACAGAATCTGATTATCGGTCTCTAGCAACAGCCGCAACTGACTGTTCCTCGACTTTGACATTACTCGACCAACACCACCCATCTATATACTTGGACAATATCTCTGCACTTGCTCTCGCAAACAACCAAGTCTTCTTAGGATGAAGCACATCCAAGTCGATTATCATTTCATTCTAAATTGCATCAAATCCAATCAAGTCATGATTCGGCTTTATCTCCACCCAAGGCTAACTAGGAGACATCTTTACCAAGTTCATGTCACAAGCCCATTCATACACATCCTGGACAAGTTGCTGCTCTCAGATTGACCATCAACTTGCGGAACTCCTGACAAGCCCATCAGCACGAAAATTATTCGCAGCCACACCATGATAACTCAATGTATGCAAACCACAAGATCTCCTGCTAGGTTCTCAGATGATGATCTGTATATCATGCTATCTCCACCCAAGGCTAACTAGGAGACATCTTTACCAAGTTCATGTTTACAAGACCATTCATACACATCCTGGACAAGTTGCTGCTCTCAGATTGACCATCAACTTGCGGAACTCCTGCAAGCCCATCAGCACGAAAATCATTCGCAGCCACACCATGATAACTCAATGTATGCGAACCACAAGATCTCCTGCTAGGTTCTCAGATGATGATCTGTATATCATGCTATTAGAATTCATAATTCTCTTAATAATCTGTTGAACTATTAAAATTGTCTAACATTTGTTGGGAAATTGTTGACACCTATTCAAACTCAGAGAAAGTAGAATACAATATCGACAAAAAAAGGTCCACACACAAAAGCATTAGAATTTTATGGAAGTCCACCTATTTGATAGTTACGCCCGCCCGATTACCAATGCTATGTATTTCAGTATAGTTGGATTTTATAGTATAAAAATCTTAATTCTTTGTATATATGACATAAAGATGATGACACATTAAAAAATAATTTGGATGATTTTACATACATAGCTCTCAATTCTTAATGTATTTACATTGCCATGCATAAAAAAGGTGTATTTCACTTTTTTAAGTTAAGATGGTGGCATTTTTGATGTGATATGAAACATTTGAGTGGTATAAATGTATAATGTAAACTCTAGTTGTTAGATATATAAATACCTCAGAATTGGGTGATAGGTATGTAAATGCCCCAAATAAGTAAAATTCTCAAAACATCATTGTTAAAATAATCATAAATATTGGAAATTTTAAACGAGCATTGTTGATTTTTCGTAGGTTCATGACGGCGAAGCCGCACTAGAGGAATCAAAAAAGAGCAACCATGTCGAAAGGAAGCTGGAGAAGCGGCAGCAAGTTCGCACTCTAGATCCACACATCGAGGAGCAATTTGGCAGCGGACGTTTACTTGCAAGCATCTCATCTCGTCCTGGTCAATGTGGTCGAGCCGACGGGTAAATAACATAGAGTTTTACAAACTTATGTTTCATAATATTATTTAGTGAAATTTACATATGTACCACAGAATTTTTTTGTATTTACATATCTAACACCAGAAGTTTGATATTTACACTTATAACAACATGGTCTCACAAACATATGCATGAAAATGTGTATTGCATATAGAAAGGCAGCGATGATGGTATTTTTTATCTGTTTTTGAGTGTTATGCTTGTAAATATGAATATTTAGGTGTTGGATATGTATAAAACTAAGAATTGTATGATATGTATGTACACATTCATTTCATTTAGAAAGCTAAATCTGCTTATTTTTTTCAACAGGTACATACTTGAAGGCAAAGAGCTGGAGTTCTACTTGAAGAAAATCCAGAGGAAGAAAGGCAAGAGTGCTGGTGCTGCTTAGTGAGTTCTTAAGCCTCTCATTAGGGTTACTTTGTGCTTTCTTGGGCCCTCTACATTGAACTGCAGGATCTGAAATATTAATTCCTTTAGAGAATTTTGATTTTTCATTTGTTTGTTTTCCCTGCTACCACAGAACAAAGGAGCCATTATAACTTAGCTGAAAGTTTTGAGGGTGTTTTTGTTATTTTAATAATTAACTGACGGTTTTTTGGGAAATGAATGCATATTTGTATGGTTTACTCATTTAGGACATTTAAATTTACACAAATATAATTGTGTTTGACTAATTTAGGACTTTGTCATGAGTCTTATTTAAAAGTTGGGGCATTTACATTCATATCATATAATTTGTATGTATTTATGTATCTAACATTCAAAACTTTTGTATTTACATACATAACATTCAAATGTTTTATATCATATAAAAATATTGTTATAGTTGTAAATTTTTTTTTTCATGTATAGGTTTATTGTACTCAAGTGTTATATGTATAAATATTAAATTTTAAGCATTGGATATTTAAATGGAAGAAATTGTTTGGTTTGATGTAAAGTGCTCTTTCAAGTATTGTGCAAGCTAAAGAATATGTATTTTCACGGATACGCAAATGTCATCTAAACCTAATTTCCATAAATGTCACATGTATTAATATTGAGTGTATATATATATATATATATATAAATAATGGTTAGAGGCTATTATACGAGTCTCCAATCACCCTTAATGTGCCTAACAATTTGAGTACAACTTCCTGTGTCAGAGGAGATTCAAACTCCCGACCTGAGGGGTCTTATTTTGTAGATGTCCAAGCTATGTGGCACGCACGCACATGACAAACATGGTGCGATAGACATACTCGTATTTTGATCATGAAATATTTGTATATATAACGCCTAAACTTCTATTTTTACATATATCTTCCATTTGAACTTGATGTCACTCGGATTTGGTAATATTGGTTGGTGTCAATGTGTTCGTCTTGTTGGGCTGCTCAGTTTGGATGTAAGTTTGTTGAAATTGAAGTTTTCAATGATTTTTAGTTGAACTTTGCATATTCTATGCTTAAAAAATTATCTCGAAATTAAAGTTTGTGGGTTAGAAAAGTAAATATATAAAACTTGAGTGGCATGTATGTAAATCTTCCAAAAAAAACGATATTCATTAAAATTTCCACTTGTGAACTTCTGTTGCTTCCTTCCTCGCCATTTTATCCGGGAATTGGTCTTCAAGATGCCCAATTTACTCTCTCTCTCTCTCTGACTATTTCTTGTATGATTTTGATATATTAATAAAAATTCAAATATATATTTTTTTATAAATAAAAAAAGGAATCAATATTTAGGACGGACTATCCTATCCCCTAAATACCGATCCTCATATATGCTAATTCGACCCAGTTGGGATTCAAACTAGGGACAGAGGAGACTTACGACGAAACTGCTATCCAACGGGTCGAGGTTGCACATAATCAAATATAGGTTTATTGTACTCAAGTGTTATATGTATAAATATTAAATTTTAAGCATTGGATATTTAAATGGAAGAAATTGTTTGGTTTGATGTAAAGTGCTCTTTCAAGTATTATGCAAGCTAAAGAATATGTATTTTCACGGATACGCAAATGTCATCTAAACCTAATTTCCATAAATGTCACATGTATTAATATTGAGTGTATATATATATATATATATATATATTAATTAAACGATTAATAATGGTTAGAGGCTATTATACGAGTCTCCAATCACCCTTAATGTGCCTAACAATTTGAGTACAACTTCCTGTGTCAGAGGAGATTCAAACTCCCGACCTGAGGGGTCTTATTTTGTAGATGTCCAAGCTATGTGGCACGCACGCACATGACAAACATGGTGCGCTCACACAGCACACACACGCGCGCACGCGCACACACACACACACACACCCACCAGCCCCATTTGAACTTGATTTAACTTGGATTTGGTAATATTGCTATCATTGTATTCGTCTTGTTGGACTGATCAGTTTGGATGTAAGTCTGTTAAAATTGAAATTCTCGATGATTTTTAGTTGAACTTTGCATATTCTATGCTTAAAAAATTATCTCGAAATTTGTGTGAGATCTCAAAATCCAAAACATTAATAATTGTATATATTGCCTAAAAAAATTATTTCACTTTTTGAGTGTTTCTTTTTATGAGAAATGAAAGACTAAAATCTTAGAAATCTAAAAATATAAAATATTAATGATGGGCGATGTGGCATGTACGTTAAAATTAAGGTTTGTGGGTTAGAAATGTAAATATATAAAACTTGAGTGTTATGCATGTAAATCTTCCAAAAAAACGATATTCATTAAAATTTCCACTTGTGAACTTCTGTTGCTTCCTTCCTCGCCATTTCATCCGGGAATTCGTCTTCAAAATGTCCAATTTACACACACTCTCTCTCTCTCTCTCTCTCTGACTATTTCTTGTATGATTTTGATATATTAATAAAAATTCAAATATATATTTTTTTATAAATAAAAAAAGGAATCAATATTTAGGACGGACTATCCTATCCCCTAAGTACCGATCCTCATATATGCTAATTTGACCCAGTTGGGATTCAAACTCGGGACAGAGAAGACTTACGACGAAACTGCTATCCAACAGGTCGCGGTTGCACACAATCAAATATATATATATATATATATATATATATAGAGAGAGAGAGAGAGAGAGAGAGAGAGAGAGAGAGAGAGAGAGAGATGATTAATTCTATATGATTTTAATATATCAATAGAAAGGCAAAATTTTTCAGATATTATACAAAATATATTGAATGGATCAAAATTTAGAGACTAAAAAATAAGAAAGATCCCACAATTTTAAGTTTTGACCCTCTCCATGATTTAAACTTGTTTGATATATTTCAATGGAATCAAATTTTTATTTCACAAAGGTATGAAAAGGGACAAATGACAGATTTATATGCCTTACTCCCATATATGCAAAGAGATGGTCATACATGCCTAAAAGCAGCCATATACCTTAGACTCAACCCTATACACTATTCAAATGGCAGTAGCCCATAATAACGGTAGCAATCAGACTATCACCTTTGCATATGTAATCATTAGCAAGGACCCTGACAATGTTCAAGAGATGCTCTATTTCTACAATTGTAAAGCTATTTATCAGGGAACAAATTATGAAGGTTACCAATGCAAAATAAAATTTGATTATGTAATTTTTCTCTGAGATGTTAATACTTTATTGATATCAATATGGAGTTAAAACATCTCTTTTTTTTCAGATTCTCACCCCGTGCTCTTCTTCTTTGTCAAATTCTTAATGAGTTGATGGTGGCACGTGTACATACATGAATTTGATGGTTTGAAAAAAATGAAAGATGTTAATTTACAATGATTACAATCACCCGACTAAGTAACATGATCTAACATTTATGTGAAAATGAAGATCAAAATATATGAAATCGGTTCCCTAGAAATTTATGTTGATCGATGATCAATAAGTGTATGTTCTGTTGCGGTATATTGAAATAGAAAGATAGATGACGAAGTGGAAAATAGAACGAGAAAATTCACACAAGAAAAGAACACACAGATTTACGTGGTTCGACAAATTGCCTACATCCACGGAGTTGCAGAAGATTTTATTAATTGAGAAATTACACCGTTTGATCACGTCAACAATTACAAGATCTCTCACTTGCTCTCTCTCTCTACTTGCTCTCTCTCTCTTTTACACCGAGATTCACCCAAGAGCAAGAACATCGAAGAAGAAGCCTAAAAGAACCAAGCCTTGCAATTACTTCATTCTCCTTCTTCCTGCTACAATTTTCCTGTAGCCTCATCGATGCAAGATTAAAGAATGGGAGACCTGGAATCCTTCTATACGCAAGGAAGACCAAAGAAGCAACCGCCTTCCTCTGTTTGGGCTCGAAATCAGGCGAAGAAATAGCACAATCTCCCTCTTCACCTCCTTCTCATCGCCGAGAAGATGAGAATAAAAAATCTTTCGCTCTTGGTTCGATCACGTGAAGAAGAAGAAGTTTTTTTTTTGTAAGCCTTATACACTTCCGAATGAAGAAATAGGGAAAATGAGTAAAACCGCCTGTAACTTAATCAAATTTCTTCTGCACATTACTTGGTGGTGGGACCTACAAAAACAAAAGTCGTGCCTCTTTCCTAAGGAGGTGGGAACAGTTGGAGTAACGAGCTCCACACTAACAAATCTTCCGCGTGGAGACTGATACACATGCTACAACATCTTCTTTCTCAAAATGATATCCTCCACTGATGGTGTCGCTTTTTTCTTCAAACATGAATCATCCACCTTTATAACTCAAAGCCATTGTCTTCAAGCTAGAAGACCAACTGAAGCTGTGCACAACTTCAATTTCTTCAGAGTAACACCCTTTGTCAACATATCAGCAGGGTCCTGACTTTCACAAATTTTCTCAAGCAATAACTGCCCTTCATCCAACAATGACCGTATGAAGTGATACCTGATCTGAATGTGCTTAGTCCTTGACTGAAATGCTGGATTCCTGTCAAGGAATATGACACTCTGACTATCATTGTAGAGAATACCTTTCTGATTCTTCTTGCCAAATTCCTCCAAGAAGCCCTGTTGTCATATCATTTCCTTTGCAGCCTCTGACACTGCTATGTGCTCTGCTTCTGTAGTAGACAATGAAACTATCTTCTGCAGATTAGAGCCCCGTGATACTCCAGTGCCACCAATAGTATAAATATAGCTTGTAGTACTTCTTATGATATCAATATCTCCAGCTAGATCAGCATTAGCATAGCTCTGTACCTCTGTACTCTTTCTTGAGAAACACAAGCAAGTTTCTGAAGAGGCTCTTAAGTATCTCAAGATCCACTTCACTGCTTCCCAATGTTCCTTTCCAGGATTACTCATCTATCTGTTAACAACTCTCACTACATGGGAAATATTCGGTCTGGTGCAAACCATTAGATACATAAGTGAACCAATATCTGAAGCATAAGAAACCTTACTCATGTGATCTCGTTCCTCCTCTGACTTGGGTGACTGATTCTTGCTGAGTCTCAAGTGACTTCCCAAGGGTGTGCCAACTAGTTTGGTCTTATCCATATTGAACCTGCTAAGTATCTTTTTCACATACTCAGCCTAAAAGAGTCTCAACATGCCTCTGACTCTATCTCTAACAATTCTCATACCAAGGATTTTCTTTGCCGCTCCTAAATGCTTTATTGCAAAGTGCTTTGACATCTGCTCTTCAGATTATTGATCTCATCAATATTAACACATG